TTGCAATTTTAAGAGTGCTGCATCCCTCTGCAAGATATCTCACTATTTTTGACTTTTCTGAGCCTGTCAAGTCCTTCTTTTGACCCATTTTGCCAAAGGAAAGGAAGTTGCCTAATAATTATACACACCTGATATAGGGTGTTGATGTCATTAGACCACACCCCTTCTCATTACAGAGATGCACATCACCTAATATGCTTAATTGGTAGTAGGCTTTCGAGCCTATACAGCTTGGAGTAAGACAACATGCATAAAGAGGATGATGTGGTCAAAATACTCATTTGCCTAATAATTCTGCACTCCCTGTATTGTGATAGCTCTTGATTGTTTTTCCAGGCAGCGTATTTTTGCTATACAGTCAGGTCCATAAATATTGGGACATCAACACAATTCTAATCTTTTTGGCTCTATACACCAACACAATGGGTTTGAAATGAAACAAACAAGATGTGCTTTAACTGAAGACTTTCAGCTTTAATTTGAGGGTATTTACATCCAAATCAGGTGAACGATGTAGGAATTACAACAGTAATTAACAGTCATAAATCAAACTTTCACTTTTTAATACATGGTTGCAAATCCTTTGAAGTCTGGAATGCATAGATATCACCAGACGCTGGGTTTCATCCCTGGTGATGCTCTGCCAGGCCTCTACTTCAACTGTCTTCAGTTCCTGCTTGTTCTTGGGGCATTTTCCCTTCCGTTTTGTCTTCATCAAGTGAAATGCATGCTCAATCGGATTCAGGTCAGGTGATTGACTTGGCCATTGCATAAAATTCCACTTCTTTCCCTTAAAAAACTCTTTGGTTGCTTTTGTAGTATGCTTCGGGTCATTGTCCATCTGCACTGTGAAGCGCCATCCAATGAGTTCTGAAGCATTTGGCTGAATATGAGCAGATAATATTGCCGGAAACACTTCAGAATTCATCCTGCTGCTTTTGTCAGCAGTCACATCATCAATAAATACAAGATAACCAGTTCCGTTGGCAGCCATACATGCCCACGCCATGACACTACCACCACCATGCTTCACTGATGAGGTGGTATGCTTTGGATCATGAGCAGTTCCTTTCCTTCTCCATACTCTTCTCTTCCCATCACTCTGGTACAAGTTGATCTTGGTCTCATCTGTCCATAGGATGTTGTTCCAGAACTGTGAAGGCTTTTTTAGATGTTGTTTGGCAAACTCTAATCTGGCCTTCCTGTTTTTGAGGCTCGCCAATGGTTTACATCTTGTGGCGAACCCTCTGTATTCACTCTGGTGAAGTCTTCTCTTGATTTTTGACTTTGACACACATACACCTACCTCCTGGCTTTTTGACAGCTCTTTGGATCTCATATTGAGAGTTGACAGCAACAGATTCCAAAAGCAAATAGCACACTTGAAATGAACTCTGGACCTTTTATATGCTCCTTGTAAATGGGATAATGAGGGAATAACACACACCTGGCCATGGAACAGCTGAGCAGCCAATTGTCCAATTACTTTTGGTCCCTTGAAAAGTGGGAGGCATATATGCAAACTGTTGTAATTCCTACACCGTTCACCTGATTTGGATGTAAATACCCTCAAATTAAAGCTGAAAGTCTGCAGTTAAAGCACATCTTGTTCATTTAATTTAAAATCTATTGTGGTGTTGTATAGCACCAAAAAGATTAGAATTGTGTTGATGTCCCAATATTTATGGACCTGACTGTATACTGCTAGATTCTATATTTTGATAAATGCTTTTGCCTGGATTAGCTTTAGCTTGCCTCTGTGTTCTCCCTTATCTCTCCCTTACCGTCAGGGAGCTTTATCTCTTCGGTACTCTTTGTATTTTCCACGTATGTGGCAATCTCTCGCAGCGCCTCTGCATCTCTGGGGCTCGCAGTCACTCAGCCTTTTATTCTGGTCAGCAGTCTGTTGCGAATTTTGGCACCTCAGTCCCTGGTTCGTGGAGCGTCAGACGTATGTCCTCACGTCATTCCTCCTCCCCTGAAAAATCCATACATTGCTTGAATCTGCTAGAAATTCATTATAAAATAATGTACAGATGGCACTTAGTGGACCTGTCCTATGTTGGATAAGTATTGGGACTTAGTTACCGTACTTGAATTTTAGAAAGTCTCAAGATTAGGGGATTCAGAAAGACACAAGAATCTAACCTACTGCACTTTAATTGGCCTAACGTAAATAAATTGCAAAAATATTTGGCTTAACATATATTAATAGCAGCAAAAATTGTAATTGCTCGAAGATGGAAAATTCCAAGTTCCTATGTGGCACTCAATCAAGGGTCAAATACATTTTCAATTCCAAATGGAAAAAGGGCTAGCACAAGGAAAAAAAAATGATATTTCAGTTTAAATACTGGAAAACACAGGTTTTGAGCTGATAAAATATTAGCAAAAGATATGGTTGATAAGAAACTTCCCTCACCTGAAACATAACTAACAATTATTTATATTAATCTCCCAATTAAATTGAAATTGACTAATAAATGAGAACCTACTTGGCATCACCCACTAAGAATTGTATTGTACTGTATTTTGGTATCATGTGTTTATTGTCTTGTATATTTTTATATTATATATGTTTTTTGATATATACAAAATAAAAGAGAAATTAAAAAGGTGATTTATGAGAGAAAGTCCTGATGCACTAATGTTACTTGGAAGGGTAGGAACTATAGAACGCAGCCGTTGTTCCAAATGCAGAAAGCCAAGGTAGTAAGGGTCTTCTACTAGTAATCAGTTGTTCAAGACCCTTTAAAGATGGTGGAGTGGAGCTCAGCCTTTGTTTGCCAAACATCACACAGTTAACAGGGGCTGATTGTACCCACAACAGAATTTTTGTTACAGGTGAGTACAGCAGTATATATCAGTCTGACTGCACTCCAGTGTACACCCTTCCCTATCACAAGTGCTTCACTGCAGACTCTGATTGAGCCTAAAGGTGTCCCAAGAGACTATAAACCCCCAGGAGCAGACATTAAAATACTTAAGAGCAGAATCTGCCAAAAATGTCATCCTCAATGACGAGTGTCATACTTAATCAGTGTATGATCATATACTGAAATTAACAGCCCAATATTGTTACCATTTATTTTAAATCAGTTTTTGAAAACGTTATCTACTTGAAGTTAGTTTAAAGTTGAGTGTGCTGTATTTTCTATGTTTTATGTATTGGTCATAGCAGCATTAGTAGCATTCTAAAGTCTAGCTAATCTAGGCAAAAATAATGGGGTTTAGTTACATATAGTTAGTTACATATATATGTAATTATACTTAAAAGAGAGCATTCAGAGGTCTTTGCAATGTTCCAACCACTGCTTTATTGTGAAAAGCAGAAACAAATGCCAACGAAATAATTGCAAGAAATCCAGACTTTAAAAAAAGTCCCATTGAGAGGACTGAAACGACGATTGTATTGTTGCAATTTTTTTCTACTTTTCACAATAAGGCAGTGGTTGTTACATAACAAAGACCTCTGAGTGCTCTCTATCAAGTTTATTTATTTGGCTGCAGTACAGCACCAGGGCAAATATTTTTGGGAGTCATTAAGTGCAAAGTACAAGTCGTATGTACATATATATGTGTGTATGCAAGCACATGTGGCGTATTCATCTGTCAGCAGACAGCAGAAACAGGGCTCTGCTAAATATCTTCCCATTCTTCCCCACTCCATTGGCAAAGAACCAGAATAAGAGAGTGGGAGGGAGTAACTGTACAGTAATTTAATGCAGGATAACGATGCTGCCAAAAGTCTGTGGAGAAGGAACGATATCAAGAATGTTAAAGAAGGGCTTGGGAGCACGAAGGCCTTTAGCTATTTAAGGATACAGGCCGTAAGTCGTGCAGCCATCATCTAATTCAGTGTTTTTCAAGAGTGTGCTCAAGCGACCTTTGGGGTTTATTTACTAAACTAGACATTACAGTGTATTGAAATCCGCACTGCAAAATCAAAGCTTCAGTAACCAAACTGTAACTAGAGAAGAGTTGGAGAATATTCCACTCAGATTTCAGTCAAATACAAGTCCAAGTTTAGTGAACAAACCACGTTGGCTTCAGGGTTGTAACAGGCAGAATGCTGTCCTTAGATTTTTTTTTTATATGTGTCAGCACTAAAATTGAAATTCACATCTGGCAATTAATTAAAACTAATGAGTTAATTGTGCTAGTATGCATATCTCTTTAGTAAGGCTTCAATTAAATTTAACAAGTGCTGATATGGGTAAAAAAAAAGCAAAAAACGTATGTGCGCAGTGGAAATGTTTCTCTGATTGAAGCGTGCTTTGGTTAAAAAAAAAAAAAAGGGTTGGAAAACACTGATCTAGTCCAGGGCTAAGCATCCTACAGATGTTCTAGACTACATTTCTTCTGATGCATTGCCAGCATTACGGGGAAATGTAGTCCACAACTTCTGGAGTGCCGAAGGTTGTCTACCCTTGTTTCTAGTCCATGGTTTGTGAAGAGTGATGGGAGCTGTAGTAAAATAACAACTAAACGGCATTGTGATGCATGCTGGATATTAGATTTAAAGCTGGCCGGTCAAGAGGAACCTTTATCCAGGATTTTTTTATTTATTTTTTTATGTACTACCTAGGTGTTCTTAATTGCTTTCAGGATTATTCCATAACGTGAGAATTGAAAGTAAACTTAAAATTTAAGGACAAAATAGCAGAACTGAAAAAAAAAAAAATCCAATGGCATAAATTTGAAATTCACTTTGAATTCACTTTCTATTCTCACTTTAGTGAATAACTCTCTGTATCAGCTATGCTTCCGGTTCAGCCACTTTGGATTTAATTGTGAAATTCCCTTAAGTGAATAACACTGTTTATATTAAGAAAGACCCAAGGGGAAATTCTATTAACATATAGCAGGTGTTTCTACACACATTACATGGAATTTGTAAACACTATTAACACTGACATTACGCAGTGGAAACTATGACATTTCAGAATGCGTACAAGTGGCATAACTAATATAATGAGAGCCCTGGTGCAAGGAATTTGTATTGAATAAAGCATTGAAAATTATGTTAACTTCTGTTGATCTATTTTCATGAGATGCTCTGTTTTATTTTTTTACATTTATATTTAAGATTTCGCATGACATCATATAATGTCATGATATTATCATCCAGTTCAAATAAGGCAAAGCCCAGGCCAATATTGCAAATGAAGAGAAACATTCTTTAATTTATTTTCTTCTCTGTATGCTTTCTCAATACTGACTACTAGTTGTAAAGGACATAACTTTAGTCCAGTATTTCAGTGTGCATGGAAGAAGAAATAGATGATGGCGATTCTGACCTGCAAAGTGTATCTACAGACATACAAGGTAAACTAAAACTATTTTATTAAAAAAAATTGTCAGCTTTGTGCTATGGTATAATGCAGAGACACGTTCTAGTGACAGAGTCGCTTTAAACAGTGTATATAACAATGAATGATTTAAAATGATCTGTCTCCTAAACAGGGTGTGAGGCAGTTTTACAGCATATATAAATCGGTCTGGGCATTGAAATAGTAAATGAATGAATACATTATTTATATTAAATGAATTATTCAGTGTAAAACATTGCATGTTCAGAGCCAAACGTTTTTACTGGGGAGCAACCATATGATTCCTAAACTTCTAAAGCAGGAAGGATGCCTGTAGAGGATTCTGCTCTCCCTGTCAGTTAGGGCTTCAGCACATATCTCTATGCCCCCAAAAAATATTGGCATGTTTATTATTATTAAAAATATCCTTATCAATAGTGATGTCTCGAACGGTTCGCTGCAGACTCATCATTGAGTAAACTTTGACCCTGTACCTCACAGTCAGCAGACACATTCCAGCCAATCAGCTGCAGACCCTCCCTCCCAGACCTTCCCACCTCCTGGACAGCTCACTAAGAATGCAGCTTAAAAATGGATGCTGTCCAGGAGGTGGGAGGGTCTTGGAGGGAGGGTCTGTTGCTGATTGGCTGGAGTGTGTCTGCTGACTGTGAGGTACTGGGTAAAAGTTTACTCAATGATGAGTCCGTGGCGAACCGTTTGTGGCGAACCATTCGGCGAACCGTTCGGGACATCACTACTTATCAATGTACCTGCAATCTGTGCATGGAACTGTGAGCTAGGAGGCGCAAGTAAATTATTTGCCCCCGGCACCTCCTGATCTTCTTGTGCCTCTACACCATGTACATGGTAAAAGTTCAAATTAAAGAGCAGGATATAAAAACTTCTAAAGTAAACCTACTAAGCTGTGGGATCTGATTGAAAATTAATCTGTTAACTCCTAAATGGCAGAAAATAAAGCAGTGAGACTACATTAAACACCAAAACTGCGTTACTAAGCTAAGTTTGTTTCTCCAACAGGGCTACTCACTAAAGTATGAACTGTCAAGAATTCATGCTGAATATTTAAAAAAATAGCAAAACTGAAAATACAACTAATTTGGACATTCTTTTTTTCTAATTTGCCTTTTATGGATTAAAATTTAAAGTTCAATTTGAATACAGGAAAATTCATACTTTGGGTTAATGCACAAGGCATGCTACTTTCCATATGATTCTAACATACACGTTCTTGAGGTACACAACTTCACTAGTTATGAAAACCTTAATAAGATTAAAAAAAATATGTACCTAAAACAAACTAACCTTATGCTTATGTAATAATGCCACAAATGGTAGTCACTGATGTATTTAAAATAAGTATATTAGAATGTTTTTTAAACTCTTTGTTTTTTATTCATAATAAAGTCTCTAAACTCTGTTTTGAATAAGATTAGTTTAACAGCTCTGCTTACAACAAATTCAAACAAATTCTTGTGACACTTGTCCAGATGTGACTGTGCATAACTGTATGATGCATAGTCATAGAATGCTGACGGTAATACTGTGTACCAGTGTACATACGGCTGCCTTGCATTTTTGTGCAGTTCTAGAGAGTGAAAAGTATGCAGCAACATTCAATTCAGTTGTCCGAGGACTGTATTCGATTCCTGGGAAGTGGTGTAGGGGGCAAGGCTTTCCCGGGTGAATCAGTGTTAACTGCCTCAGTTTTTGGATTGGCAACTTTAGTTGGTGGTGGAGGGTGTGGTGGAGGAATGCTAGGGGCTTTGAGGCTGCCTCCCATGGTTCTTCGTGGCGTGGGTTTGGGGCTGCGGCTATCTTCTAAATTGTCTGTGCTGGAGGAAACACGAGGCTGTATAGGTGGTGGAATGTTGGGACGTAGAGGAGCTGGTCTCTTCACTGCAAGAGAAAAATGGTTATAAAAATATTATTTGTTTTCAAATAGACAGTGAAAGTAGGTGTTCGGCAGTTCATTGATTCAGTAAGCCAGTGAACCAGCAATTCAGTTCAAGCTATAATTTGCAACCCACATTCTCTTTCATTCTTTGTGATTTACTATTATTTTCACCACAGTCTATTGTTTGAATGTATTATTTTTATTATGCACACATATCGGTAAATAAAGTACTTGAATGCTTCTCCTGGGTTAACCTGGCTCCATGGGCATACCTTTCAATAGTCTCAGGTTCAGAGGTATGGCCCTGATTCGGCTCTCTAAATGTTAACACTCTAAATTTTGCACAATTGGTTTGCAATTCAATGCAAATTTACTAACTAATAAATACATTTCTGACACTCTAGAAAAATATAGCTTGTTTAAATCATGTCAGTGTTCACTATTGAAATGGTTTATTATGCATTTAAACTTACTTTACCCCTTTAAAAAGTGATTTTTTTCAAAGACATCTGACTGAGGGGGACATTACATTGTTAAGGGGACATGTTATCACTAGACATGTTTGCACATATTAGTCTCTAGGAGTGGACCGCCGCAGTCATTGCTCAGGAGCCTAGAATAGAGGAATTAAGTTTCCCGGTACTTAAGATAATCAGTCACGTCAATTTAAAGGTATGCAATTATCACATTGTCATGAGAAAAGGCATCACTGCATATAAAACCAAACTGTTTAACAGTCTGAGTCATTTAGGTCACATGCTTGGCAATCAACAAACATTTGCTCTGCAAATTTTGTAGTAGTCAAATGATTCTGAAACAGCCACGAGACGTAGCCCAACGTCACCAAGAGACTACTGTTTGACATTCCTGCTTTACACAGTGTGTGACAAACTAACCTATGTCCCTATGTTTGAAGGAAAATGTAAGATCGTATTCTATTTTTGAAAAAGACAGAATTAGATAAGTTCAATTTCATTTCTTTAGAATGTTCCTAGTTTCAGTGTTATTGTTCCAGGAAGTCTGCATTTTCTAGCATACAGGATGCTTCCCCTGACTTGCTTTCATATGTGTGTTTCTTGTCAGTAACCTTGTTTACAATTCTAACAAAATAAAAATGCATGTTTTATTTCATGTGTCATTACTTATCCTTATCCACAGACCCCAGTAAAGCTGCACTTGAGTCATCAACACAACCTTCTTGAAAAAAAATGGTCTCATTTACAATTAGATCTTTCAGCAGTTCTCATCTACTGCTCTGTTAATTTAAAGGAATACTATAGGATCAGGAGCACAAACATACATTCTTGACCCTACAGTGTTAAAATCACCATTGAGGTGGCTTGCCCCACCTTAGCCCCCTTAAAAGGTAATAAAACTCACCTTATTTCCAGCACTGCGCAGTTCCGTCAGTGCTGGCCCCGCCACTGATGCGCCTCCTTGCTGACATCATCAGAATTTATGATTTTTAGCCAATCCAATACTTTTACATAGGGAAACGACAGTATTTGCATGAAAATGCCTGCAGGGAATGATTATACTCACCAGAACAACTGCATTAAGCTGTAGTTGTTCTGGTGACTATAGTGTCCCTTTAAATTAAATCGCACATAGGAGGTTGTTGAAGACTCAACAGGCTATTAACAGAGCAGGAGAAAAGAAATTCTAAATTAGGCACTCTATGCAATAAGGGTTACTTCAACCACAGTGATCTGAAGTAGTTATGGTGGTAGGAGTTATCGACACTTGTGTGCTGGGATAAGTCGTACCCCTGACACATGTGACTTGGGCAGCCAAATTCTTTGCATATTTTATGTCTGTCATTCTACACTCATTCCCTTAGTTTAATAAACCTTCCCATTACCCGCATTTTATTTTGTTTTTTTACAACCCTCCCCTGTCCATCTGCTACTCCTTCCCTCCTCTCACCAGATCAGAGAGCACGCATATAAAGATAGTAATGCCCAAAAGTGCATTTTCAGGTAAAACCAAGAATTGTTGAAGGGTTACAGTAACCCTTTAAAAATGTAGACTCTATGTGCAGGGAAGCTGTGTGAGCCACAGCCAAGGGAGGTGGAACTAGGGCTACATAAACAAAATAATCTAACTCCTAAATAGCAGAGAACAGAGCAATGAGATTGTGGGGGCATGATCTTTACATCAAAAAAACACTTAATTAAAGGGACACTATAGTCACCCAGAAAACTTCAATGTAATGAAGTGGTCTGGGTGCCAGATCCCTCATGTTTTAACCCTTCACATGTAAACAGCAGTTTCAGAGAAGGGTTAATCCAACGTCTAGTGGCTGTCTTCCTGACAGCCGCTAGAAGCGCTTCTGCGACGCTGGATGCGAAATTCGCATTGAGCGTGCAGAACGTCCATAGGAAAGCATTGAGAAATGCTTTCCTATGGACTGTTTGAATGTGCGCGTGGCACTTTCAGCGTATGCACATTCCGCTCCACTCAGGAGCTGACGGCAGGGGAGGAGAGGTCACCAGCGCCGAGGGAGCCCGGCGCTGGATTAAGGTAAGCTGCTGAAGAGGTTTTACCCCCTTCAGCGCCATGGGAGGGGGACCCTGAGGGTGAGGGTCCCCCAAGGATGACATAGTGTCAGGAAAACGGGTTTGTTTTCCTGACACTATAGTGATCCTTTAAGCTAAACTTGTTTTGATGCTATTAATGTCCTTTTAAATAACTATTTCTGCATGCCTAGCCAATCCTCCCTTGCTGTCATTCACAAAACCTTCCTAAACACCTTCTGGAAAGATATATCCATTTTGACTAGAGCTTACATTCAGCAGACCCACAAAACACGTTTTTCATAATATTGAATATAATGATAAAAATGGAAGGAAGACATGTTCCCTTTTAACTTGGTGTCCAAACGTTGGGTTGCTGTTGCTGTGCACTTACCTTTACGTGCTGTATTCGGACTGACTTCTGAATCTGGATTAGTGGAATTACCTTCTTCAAATGGAGGTGGAGGTTTTAATGGTGTTGGCTTTATTGTTACTGCCTCTACAGATGCAGTTATGTTCTCACATTCTCTGGAGAAGAAAAATGTCAGAATTTAAATTGCTACAAAACGTTTCATGAAATGAGAATGAACAGCCTCAAGATTTGTTTATTAAAAGGGGCACAGTAAGCGCTAAAATAACTAAAAAAACTACATCTAAATTTGTATATTTGGTAAACAGGCATTGTGCATTTTCTCTGGCAATGTAAAACACTGCTATTTCAGAGAACCGACAATGCTTATATTGTGACAAGAACACGTCGCTACTGTCAATCATATCTACAGCCACTAGAGGCACTTCCTCATTAAGAACTAAAAAAAAACAAAAGGTCTTCATTTTCGCACAGCACAAAGACGCTGAACACTATTAATACTTCTCACGGAGAAGTATTGTATTCAATGCTTGTCTACGATAAGCATCAGATGTGCAATAAAATTAATTTTAAAAATTATAAATAAGTAATTGGAAAAAGTACAGTTGAGTCTATTTAGTCCGCCAGGCAGAACCTACATTGGACTACATAGACTCAATTGTACTTTTTCCAATTATTTATTTATTTATTAATTTATTTTATTGCACATTTTAGTGCATTTAATTGATTTTACTCCTTTCAATAAATTATCTTTTTGGGAATTGAGCAGTCCAATTTGCCTTTACTCCAGAGTCTTAAAGATCCCACAGGAACAACTGGAAGAAGGATGGGGACAGGGCTGCCATCAGAAATTTTCGGGCCCCTGACACAGTTCAAAGTCTGGGCCCCGCCGGACCCATCCCCGAGTCTGCCCACAGGGCCCATTCTGAGTCCGCCCACAAGAATGCCTTGTCCGTGTGGTGTGTAAAATGGATACAGATCGCACATTTGTATAATGGATGTAGTTTTGTGTGTTTTAGATAAAGTGTGTGTTTGTGTAGTGAATGCAGAGTGTTTTTTTGTTGTGGTTTTAGTGTGTGTATGGTAAATGCTGTGTGTGTTTGTGTTGTGGTTTTAGTGTGTGTATGGTGAATGCAGTGTGTGTTTGTGTTGCGGTTTTAGTGTGTGTATGGTGAATGCAGTGTGTGTGTTGTGGTTTTAGTGTGTGTATGGTGAATGCAGTGTGTGTTTGTGTTGTGGTTTTAGTGTGTGTATGGTGAATGCAGTGTGTGTGTTGTGGTTTTAGTGTGTGTATGGTGAATGCAGTGTGTGTTTGTATTGTAGTTTTAGTGTGTGTATGGTGAATGCAGTGTGTGTGTTGTAGTTTTAGTGTGTGTATGGTGAATGCAGTGTGTGTTTGTGTTGTGGTTTTAGTGTGTGTATGGTGAATGCAGTGTGTGTTTGTGTTGTGGTTTTAGTGTGTATATGGTGAATGTAGTGTGTGTGTTGTGTTTTAGTGTGTGTATGGTATTGCAGTGTGTGTTTGTGTTGTGGTTTTAGTGTGTGTATGGTGAATGCAGTGTGTGTTTGTGTTGTGGTTTTAGTGTGTGTATGGTGAATGCAGTGTGTGTTTGTATTGTAGTTTTAGTGTGTGTATGGTAAATGCAGTGTGTGTGTTGTAGTTTTAGTGTGTGTACGGTGAATGCAGTGTGTGTGTTGTAGTTTTAGTGTGTGTATGGTGAATGCAGTGTGTGTGTGTGTTGTGGTTTTAGTGTGTGTATGGTGAATGCAGTGTGTGTTTGTATTGTAGTTTTAGTGTGTGTAAGGTAAATGCAGTGTGTGTGTTGTAGTTTTAGTGTGTGTATGGTGAATGCAGTGCGTGTGTTGTAGTTTTAGTGTGTGTATGATGAATGCAGTGTGTGTGTTGTAGTTTTAGTGTGTGTATGGTGAATGCAGTGTGTGTTTGTGTTGTGGTTTTAGTGTGTGTAAATGTGTAAAATAGGGGGCTGCATGGGGTGGGAGTGAGCCTTTTTGGTGGTATTTACATTTATTTAAAGGACCACTATAGTGCCAGGAAAACATACTTGTTTTCCTGGCACTATAGTGCCCTGAGGGTGCCCCCACCCTCAGGGTCCCCCTCCCGTCGGGCTCTGGGGGAGGAAAGGGGTTAAATCTTACCTTTCTCCAGCGCCGGGCGGGGAGCTCTCCTCTTCCTCTCCGCCTCCGATCCTCCTCCTGGGCTGAATGCGTACGCGCGGCAGGAGCTGCGCGCGCATTCAGCCGGTCTCATAGGAAAGCATTTACAATGCTTTCCTATGGACGCTTGCATGTTCTCACTGTGATTTCCACAGTGAGAATCACGCAAGCGCCTCTAGCGGCTGTCAATGAGACAGCCACTAGAGGATTTGAGGGCTGGATTAACCCATTTATAAAAAAAATGGGTTAACCCTAGCTGGACCTGGCACCCAGACCACTTCATTAAGCTGAAGTGGTCTGGGTGCCTAGAGTGGTCCTTTAACACACTATTTTATTCCCCCCTCCCTGCTTCCTACCTGACTAGGGAGGGGGGAGATTGCATCCCAGGTGGTCTGGTAGAGGGAGCCAGCCGCTGTACAACGTAGACGGGGCCAGCCAGCACCATCTTAACTTTTCAGCAGCTCCTGTGCCTGGAACTCTCGCAAGCTGTGCCTGCGTGCCGTGTGTAGCGTTGGCATGGTAACCCGTGACAACGCTCTGCCGGCCGCGGAGCTCGCAAGAGTTACAGGCACAGGAGCTGCTGGAAAGTTAAGATGGTGCTGGCTGGCCCCCATATACGTTGTAAAGGTAGCCAGGGCCCGCAAGTGAACATATAGATAGCAATAATCGCTATCTATATGTGCACTTATGAAATGTGGGGCCCGGGACTCCCAGAGCAGTCCGGGCCCCCCAGGACCGCCGGGCCCATGACAACCGTTATGGTTGTCATGCCCTGATGGCGGCCCTGGATGGGGACGTCCTATTAAGAGTCCCTCTGCGCTACCCATGAGAGTCATATGCTTATATTTGGCTCCAGGCTTGTGAGTACTTGATATCTTACACATCTATACCTTGTTTGTACTGGCAATACTGTACTATATTATTTTGTCTTTTTCTAGAGACCTCAGACGTGTGATCCACCTATTGTATGTATTTTATGTTACTTATGTAGAGTGGTATAAGGGGTTCCCACTCAGGTGGCTTGTAGCGGTTACGCTACCACACATATCAACTCACTGAGTATATTATCTTCCTCTAAAGATCTATCTTCGCTCATTAATCATTTGCAATTTTTATAGTTGCATTCACCCTTTTCTTAGTGGAGTATCCTGTCAAGAGTTTAAGATACTATCACCCAAAAAAACAAACAAAAAATCTCTATTCAGTAGATACACCCCAATGTAAACATGCATGCATTTAATTGTTTCAGTTGAGGTATATCTAAAGATAGTTTGTAAAGCTGCAGATCTTTTCTCTGAAGCCTTTGCAAACCCTCCTTTTCTAACTCTTTATCGTTTGTATTGATTGATCTGTTGTACAGCGCTGCAGCATGTGTTATTGCTATATAAATGCCAGTAATAATAATAACTAACTAAGCCCAGACCTTCTGAGCATGTCCAATCACAGACTTCCCAATGAGAAGTCTTTGCAAAGCAGGTGCTCTGTGCAATTGCTGCCTCTTGAGCTTAGATCCACTGAGCTAACCAAACCAGGAAGTATCAGCATCAGCTGTCTGAATGACAGCCAGGGAGTGTAACAAGGATGATAATATAACAATATGTTCTTTAAAGAGGCATTCTAACCAACAAAACCAGAGTAGCTTATAGTAGTGTAAAATTAGTCTTTACGTGCAGTCTTTGTAAAACCACTTTCAGAGGTTTGACAAAACAAAATCAAGGCTCTCCTGCACCCAAAGCCTGGTCCCTTCTAGAGCATCCCTACAAATCTGTCCACATTTATATGGAAATAATAGGCTGTGGGTGTTGGGAGTAAGTTATGAATACCAGACAACCCCAGTTTTTTGTCACACTGGCCAAAAGCTGACAATCACTGAAAAAGGCTGTAATGGTTATAAGTGCTCATCATCTCTTAAGGATCCTATTCCAAAATTAATTCAACTATGTTAACTGCAGAGCTGCATGAACCTGTCAAAACTATACAAGTGGGATTTCTCTGAAAAGGCAGTGTTTACATCAAAAGGCTGGAAGGGACAGACTATATACACCAGAACATCTACATTAAGCTGTAGTTGACTATAGTGTCCCTTTAATACATTTATTACAAATGCTAGATCTCAGATCAAATCTTTATATGATAAACAGTTTGATCCAGGAAGGAACTGATGGGCACTTTGCCTTGTTATATTCAATTGCATTGTGAATAACACATTCCATAAACAGGCATCCATGTGTTTGTGTTGCTATGGATTAGTAACATCTGCTATTCCAGCTGCTGTGTCAGGACTTCTGCACCAATACTCTGCTTACCTCTCTAAACTGGTGGATACAGGGGAAGCAAGAGGGGATGTCTCTTCAGGTTTGTAAACATTCTGGACTTGTGATGGCTCGTCAAGCTTCTGAGGGGGCTGTTCAGTGGAAACAGGAGTAGGTGGCACTGGAACTCCAAAATCAATATCTACATAAAAAATTTAAAGCAACAGTCACCACTATATGAGAAATTAAATGTAAGGTTTGACCATGTTATTGATTTTTATCATGCAAAAATAGTGGTGGTGGCACAACCTTTATATTGGTTGTCACTAAGGTGTTGACACCACCCGTAATGAGAAGACGTCACTTGTGATTATCTTAAAATCATTCTGCTAATTGCAGTTTATAATTCTGGAAATGTGATGTCACGAATTGAGAGAGGGACATGACAGGTACCTATACATTTGTGTTTGAATATGTCTGGGAGTTTTTTGCTTTTTTCCAGGAGAAGGGATAAAAAGAAATAAATAAAAAAATACCATTGTGAGGGAGGCAACAGTTTTTAACAAATGCAATAAAGGGGAGAGATGTTGATATATACACAGATTGTTTCCTTAATTATATATGATATTTTGCAACAAACATTTACTGCTTTGCTTTTTTATATTTCAGATTTTTGCTTTCATGTTTATCTCTATAGAATTAAAATAATGTTATATAAATAAATTCAAGTGTTGAACCCTGTATGGTAATGCATATTAATAAACCATTAAAAAACAAACTCTACATTTTCAGATGAAATGTATGCTTATCTCACCTTCCGGAAAGACGTCTGCAGCACAGTTAATAAGGCCTTCAACCACACTTACTACCATTATTGGGGAAGCCGAAGCCATATTTAGCATTGAAGGTTCTCTGAAAACAGATAAAGATCAGGAGAAATATTTAGTGGGTCATGCAAGCGCAATTGCCATTTTAAAAAAATCTTAAAGCATCTATTTTGTCTTAAGGAACGGCCATTATTAAACAATAACCATGGCTTGCTAAAAAAAACACGGGTTCTCTGGGTCATAGAAAAAATGCTGCTGCACCCTGCACGCCTCCATAGCCATACACATACAAAGCATACCCCACACCTATTACAAGCCTCTTTGTTCATCCCCCACTCCTGTCCTTACAAATCCTTTTCTCTGAATTCTCCATATCACAGAAAAAAATGTAGGCTTGGGGTGTACACGTCCTAAGAAGCTTATAAACTCTCGTAGCACTAAAAAGAAATTCTAATGTCATCCACCTGTATGGCATTTTCCAGATATGTTTTTTTTTAAATGTAAAATTGTCTAACTGGGAGAAGACATGGCCTCATTTGCACCTTCAGGTCCTGCCTGTGCCCAACATAGCCCGCATCCTGCCCAGTGTCCTTTAAAAAGCAGGCCCTGAAAAAATTATTTCCTCATAAGAAAAAAAACTAAACTAACAAAAGATGGTAAGCCTTAGGGACCCAAAAGGAATGGACCGAATATAGTTACATAATTACATAGCTGAAAAGAGACATGCGTCCATCAAGTTCAGCCTTCCTCACTTTTGTTTTTTGCTGCACTTTTAGAACTTTAGACCACTTTTTAGAACTTTTTAGACTTTGATAAATCTCCCTCATTCTTCTTCCCTTATACATTATTATGTAAGACCTGAATGACCTTTTTCTTTCCAGCTGGCGTGAATTATCTTTTAATTATTCTTGTATTGTATCTTATTCCTTGGAAAGACCATAAGACATCCTAATGTGTTGGCTTAAAAAAATGCATAATAATAAAGACATTAATTCTCCATTTCTTTATTTCTCTCTTTTTTTGTTTAAGAGACATTATAGGCACTCTGATTACTTCATCTCATTGAAGTCATCAGGGTGCTTTCTCTCTCTGACCTCTTAGCCCTGCAATGTAAAACTGCAATGAAATGTTTATATTGCAGGGTTAAGACTGCCTCTAGTGGCTGTATACCAGATAGAGGACATTATTATTATTATTATTATCATGTTATTTATATAGCGCCATCAAATTCCGCAGCACTTTACAATGGGTGGACGAACAGACATGTAGTAGTAACCAGACAAGTTGGACACACAGGAACAGAGGGGTTGAGGGCCCTCCTCAATGAGCTTACATGCTAGAAGGAGTGGGGTAAAATGACACAAAAGGGTAAGGATAGTATTAAACTAGTGACAGTTACAGACGAGGAATCAGTCAGGAGCTATTAACAGTTTAATTGATATGCTTTTATGAAGAAGTGGGTTTTTAACGATTTTTTGAAGGAGTGGAGACTGGGTGAGCATCTAACGGAGGAGGGAAGCGAGTTCCACAGGAACAGTGCAGCCCTTGAGAAATCTTGAAGGCAAGCATCAGAGGTGGGAGTACGGACAGAAGATAAACGACATACTTGTGTATAAGGGAGGATAGATAGGTGGGAGCAGCATTATGTAGCGATTTGAAAGCAAGAACCAGAATTTTAAATTGAGCTCTATATTTTATAGGAAGCAAATGTAGGGTCTGTCAGAAGAATGAGGCATGGGAGGTGCGGGCGGACAGGAAGATGAGCCTCGCTGCCGCATTCATTATGAACTGTAACGGCGCAAGTTGGGAGCATGTAAGACCACTGAGAAGCGGATTACAGTAGTCAAGGCGAGAAAGGACAGTGGAATGGACCAACACCTTAGTCGCATCTGGCGTTAAGTAGGGGCAGATGTGCGCAATGTTTTTGAGATGGAAACGACAGGATTTGGCGAAAGACTGAACATTGAAGGAGAGGTCGGAGTCAAAGAGAACACCTAGGCAGCGAGCCTGCGTGGTGTAGCTGATGGTAGCACCGTTGACTTGGAGGGAGACAGACACAGGAGTAACAACACTTGAGGGAGGAAAGACCAGAATTTCAGTTTTGGTCAAGTTTAGTTTAAGGAAGTGGGCAGCCATCCAGTTAGAAATAGCAGAGAGGTAGTCAGAGACACTAGTCAAGAGGGACGGGGAGAGATTAGGAGAGGACCGGTAGATTTGCGTGCAATCTGCATTGAAATGATATTGGAAGCCAAAGGAGCAAATGAGTTTACCAAGGGAGGCAGTATAGATGGCGAACAGTAGGGGACAAAGGACTGAACTTTGGGGGACACCAACAGAGAGGAGTTGGGGAGAAAAAGCAGAGCCAGAGAAAGAAACACTGAAAGAGTGCTGGGAGAGGTAGGAGGAGCACCAGGAGAGAGCAATATCTTGTAGATCGATATTGCGGAGGATGAGAAGAAGCTGTTGATGATCAACAGTGTCAAAAGCCGCAGACAAGTCAAGGACAATTAGGATAGAGTAGTGACCACGAGATTTTGCAGCGAGTAGATCATTGGATACTTTGGTCAGTACCGTTTCCACAGAGTGCTTAGCACGGAAACCAGACTGATGCGGATCTCAGTTGGACTCGAGGAAGTCTGTCAATCTCGCATACACAATTCTTTCAAGGATCTTGGATGCAAAAGGCGGTAGCGAGATAGGACGATAGTTGGATGGGGAGTTAGGGTCAAGATTGGGCTTTTTTAGAATTGGGGTTACAGTTGCATGTTTGAAGGGCGATGGAAATATACAAGAGGAGAGAGAGATAATTTTAGTGAGAGGTGGAGAAAGAGAAGAAGATAGAGTACGGATGAGATGCGAGGAAATTGGATCTAGGGAGCAGGTGGTGGGGTGGGAGGACTGGAGCAGTGCAGAAACCTTTACCAATGTAGCGGGTGCGAATGAACTTAGAACAGCAGAGGGAGTGAAGTTAGGGGAAGTATTGTTAGGGGAGGAAGAAAGATGAGAGATCTCTTCTCTGATTGTAGAGATCTTGTCAGTGAAGTGAGTTGCAAAGTCTGAGTTGGCCAAGTTAGTAGGTGGAGGAGGAACAGCAGGGCGAAGAAGAGAGTTAAATGTGTGAAATAGTCGTTTTGGGTCGCAGGAGAGTGTGGTTATGAGGGTATTGAAGTAATTAACTTTTGCAGAGGAAAGAGCCAAGCTGTAAGAGCTCAGCATAAATTTATAGTGGAGAAAGTCAGATGCACAGTGAGACTTTCTCCAACAGTGTTCAGCAGTTCTGGAGCATTTTTGGAGGTATCGAGTGAGCTTGGTGTGCCAGGGTTGTTGTTGGGGGCGCCTGCGGCGTTTAAATGTACAAGGTGCCATAACGTCTAGTTGAGAGGAGAGGGTGGAATTGTAGAAGGAGCTTCTTCTAAATTCCCATAGGAAAACATTGCGTCAATGCTTGGGTACTAGATGTTATGGTACTAATTTTACAGTCTATATATAATAACCTTGGGAACAAAGCTACTAAGATAAATGAATGGAGTGGTTAGGCTTTATCACTCTTTGCTACAGATATAAAATTAAGAGTTTATTGACTGGTGCATGCGTAGAGCAATTAATAAAAGTTAGCTGGTGTAAAGAAAATAGACTGAGTTTGGTATTTTCTTCTGTGTTTGGACTTTTCTGCAGTATTTTGTTCATTTTGGATTTATTAGTAGTTTAAAACTACCGAACACCGACCACCCTCCTGGCTCATTAACTTCAAAAGAACCGTCTATTAAGCGCTCTCTGGGCGGCCGCTGTTCGTATAGCCGAATGCCACGTGGAACAGAAAACGGCGGCCATCTTGTTTGCACGAAAGGAGGCAGAGGGACTTGGTCGTCGAGTGTCTGGAACTAAAATTGGACACTTGACCTCCCGAACGACACCGCTGAAACTACCGAACGCCTGCTTCCTTTAGTTGCTGAACAGCCAGGAGAGCGCCATTCGGTAGTTTGGTTCATATGAACAAGGGGAGCAATCGCTCCTATGAGCCAGGAGGATCCATTCGGAACTTTTATTCGTTTTATGCCATTTACTGAATTGACCGAAAGCACACGCTGAATTCGTGGAACTGTTTTGGGCAGGAGCCTCGTGTGTGGTCGGTAACTTATGACTTTCATACTTTTTGAGAACCCCTGATCTGGGCCAAATTTGGATATGCTGGTCCCCCAGATCGGGGCTATCAGGGGATATGTAATTTGTGGGGATACCTTATGTGGAAAGGGGTGTTCTAATTTTGGGGGAAATTGTGTGTCCTCTGCCTGGAGATAATTGAGTTATTCCTTAACTTATCTCAATATCTCCCAGGCAGAGACAGGGCGGGAGTTACTGTAAATCTGTATGTTGATTGGTTAATGTCTTTGTTTACTGTGGGAGGTCCTCTTGCAGGAGCATTCTCATAAAAGCCAGTGTGGCCTCAATAAAAATCATTCCTGTTACACCTTTCATGAAGTCTAGTCTCATGCTTGGGGAATATTCTACTTGCTGGGGAGAATCGTCTTGGAAGCTGCATTCATCTACACTATTCCTCTACCTCCTAAATGCAGTTATAATCACTTATGCTCAGCTATTGGGAAAGTAATAGAAGACCGCATTACCATAACCACTGCAGGTCATAACAGCTGGTCCACAAAATAATTGGAGCATTTCAAATAATCAAATGTGAACTATTGCACCCTTGTCTTTGACAAAACCAACCAAATATTCATGTAGAAAAAGGACCAGCACACCTCTTCTTTTTTTCAATGTTTAGCAGTCTATTTTTTGGGTGAAACACACAAAGAAGGGCAATGTTCCCACTCATATAGGAGTCTTTCTCAAGACAATAAATGAACTGCTAAAGATTGGGGAATAAAAGAGGTGTGCTGGCCCTTTTTTCTACATGAATAATTGGTGCATGTTTAGGGCCTAGGCCAGGGGTAGGCAACCTATGGCACTAGTTCCATGCACGACACTCAAGGTGTCTTTGCACGGCACTCAAGGCTGCTAGAGCCAAACAGGCTCTGGCCTATCAGAAATCCCAGTGAAACTTCAGATATCTGCTGATACGAAAAGGTGGTGAAGGACAATCCTCAATTTATGCATTGCAGCACATAGAGGAAGTGATCTCAGATCACTTCCTCCAAGCACTTGTGAATGGGAATCCACACTGTAGTAGAGCAGCCTGCAGCTGCTGTTACTGCTTCTGTCCTTGACTTGTACCTGGCCAGCCTGGTCCCCACTGGAACCCAGGGAAGCCACCCACACTGCTAGATATACACAGAAATGCAGAATAACCCTCTCCTTATACAAATAATAAGAACAGCCCACACACAAACATACACACAATCAGCACAAACATAACCCGCTAACAATCCACATACATGCACACAACCCCACATGCAGCCTCTCACATGCAATACCCAAAACAGCCCACACACACTACCAAACACACAATGTGACATCCACACACAATTCCACAAGCAGCCCTCATACACAGTCCACATTTATATGTATCATACACAATACCATAAACTACTAATGAACATATTCAATCTATTAGCTCATATACACACAAATACAATGATACAAAGCAATTACAGTATAAATAACACAAGCAGAATACGGCAACATACACACGTCAATTTAAAAAAAAAATAGGATCGGCACGCTATGGGACATCACAATCCTATATCGGTGCACAGTGCTGCTAAAAGGTTGCCTACCCCTGGCCTAGGCAATACATTTTTGAGTGTTAGGAGTATAGAAAGGTTATCATGGACCTGAATAAAATGAGAAACGTAGGGGTACTTCACAATGATTTTTTGTGGGGGTTTCATACAAAACAGAATAAAATACCTATATAAACAGAACACAATTTACAATACGAAACGTACAAAATAAAAAAAAGATAAATGCATTAATCTGTTAGATACGGCTAATCCGTTTCCTATCAACTAATTCTTCAAATATCTATTTTTCCCTTTTCTTTTCAACAATTTCAGGGAATACTTCCATGTTTTAGTGGTTATTTAGGCATTTATGAGTAGTTTGATATTGTGGCTATTTGGCTAGGAGACCCACACCCTTGTCTTTTTTTCTTATGAGGATTTTGAGATATTTTAATTTATCCAGGGTGAATGTAAGTTTTATGAATATGTACTTATCCATTCCCCCCCTATTTTTGAGTGTGAATAAGTATTGGGATTATTGTCCCAATTAGGTCTGCACTCAGACCAAATACTTTTGACCAGGCACTCCTTATCTTGTCTATACCACACTATTAACTCTAGGTCATCTACATGTGTCAGCTCTTGCTCTAATATATACCATTCTTAATTTTTCAGAGTTATCACTTGAATTTGATGTATTTGAGTCAGAAGGTTCACTTTTTGGTATCTCCTCAATTCCAGGAAACCCATCCCTCCCTGTATTTTTTTGCAATATATTTTTTTTTCTCAAACTGCTATATCTATTTTTGGAGGGATTGTTATTCCCAGATATTTTAGCCATAATTTTGGCCATTGATAATAAAAGTTTTTCATTAATATGTTTAATTCTCTTAATTCCATTGCAAATGTTAGGTATTGGTTCTTATCTAAATTTAATTTGCAATTAGATAATTTTCCATAATTAAGTTTATTATTTCCAATAGGGCTTCAGCTGATTTCTGTGATGACGTTAGCGTTAATGTTATGTCATCTGCATAAGCAGAGACTTTACATTCCAAATTTTTCAGCTTTATCCCTTTTGTGTAATCTAATCTTCTGTAATAGGGGTTCAAGTGTCATTATATACAGCAAGGGAGCCAAAGGGCATCCCTACCTAGTATCATTTTTATATGCAGTCTTTCCAAAATAAACTTATGGCCCAAAACAGTAACAGATGGAGTGGTGTAAATGGCCATTATTGCATCTATAGGTAGTTCACTAACTTTAAAGGCCCTCATGATTTCCTCTAAGAATATCCAGTTGACCCTGTCAAAGGCCTTTTTGGCATCAAGTGACAGGGCCAACATGGGAACTCTCTTAGTCCCCACTCAGTATATTAGATCAACAATTTTTCTTGATATGCATTATTATTTGCATATCAATTTTGGTAAAACCCACTTGTTTTTTTTATGTATTATGTGTGGGAGATTCAGTGATTCACAATGTTGTTTTCGCTCTGTGATGAAAAAATGTCTGCAGCCAGTGGGTGGTTTCAATTGTGTTAAGGGAAAAATATCAAATTTGCACTTCACTTCAGGCTTTTGAAAAGTTTATTTATGAAATGTAATAATTTTTTTTAAAAATATGTGTATAGATTTTGTGCAAAAAAATCACTTTTTTATGTGGCCATGCAACCTAGTTGAGTTATACATGGTTATAAATTCCACGCATACTATTAAATGAAAACGTACCCGTTACACTTAGCCCACAGCAGGTTGGGACCCAGCACAATTGCAATGTTACTGGGTGTCATCTTATTCACTTCTTGATGCTCTGACAATTTTGCCAAAAATTTAATGAGATATCTAGAAGGTGACAAAAACAATTGCATGAGTAAATCATTTTCAGGAATCGGTATTACATCAACGGTTTATAATGTAAGGTGCCAGTGACAAACGCACACTAAACCCTACTACATACATAGCTCAATTTAGCAACTCCCTATAGATATATATGTATAACTAACATGCCACATGGAAAATACCATTCCAGATTTCTCTATATCCATTTTTATTAGCTGGTAGTATACTTCCAGCTCACAAAATAACAACGTAAGCTTATTCGATAGGAAACACTCAAAACTATATTAGTAATATGCCTAAAATAAAGATATATATTGTAAGGGCTCACTTTGTTTTTAACATTAGAAAAATATATATATTTTTTTTAATTTCCCATACCGGAGGTTGTTATAATTTTCAGCTGGTAACTGCTTGCAGACCTCTTTGTAACTTTCTGCACGTTTCTCAGGCTCTTTGATGCTGAAAAGAAAAAAAGATGGTAAAAAGACATTCACATGAAGCTGAAGAGTACTTTGACTTGAGAATTTGTTTATGTCTACTACCTGGCAGCTTTCAACCAATCATCGAAGAGTTCAGAGGTCATCAGAGGTTCAGGAAGTTCTCTCAAGTATGACTTCAAGGCACCTGTAATTAATTGATTTTCTTAGCAATCACAGTTATTCTGTGGCATTTATTTAAAAAAAATTAAAGATGGTACAGGAATTAGTACAAATTGATGATAAATGTTTGCTTTACCCACCCCCTTCTTTCTCCATTCTCTGCACCTCCTAACAGTAAATGCCTTCACTTAAATTGTGTTATTTCCTCAATTCCTGTTTAGAAATCTTTCATCAAGCTAGAAAAAGTCTCTTATGTGAGCCAAAAATGCTGATATTTGTGTGCTTCCTGCTACTAAATAAAACGACACTATGTTATTTTTGGAGATAAAGCCAGACCATTCTCTTTTATCTGGCCTTCCTTTTACCCACTGAACGAACCAACAGAAAATAATAGGGAAACTTAATTTTCAAGTAGAACCTACCCTGCCCTCTTTCCTCCTGTTTCTATCTTACTTTATGGCATGCTTCTCTAGCTGCCTAAGCTCTGACTTAATTGCCTTCTCATACCCTTTACAACTTACCAGTGACTGCAAATACCCTTTAAAGGACAAATGCCAATACATTTTCACTTATATATTTTTTTTAAAGTTTACAACATTTAAAGAAAAGTTGTTTTTTATTCATGTATATTGATTTTTTTAATTTATTTTTTAATAATTAAACTTTTTTTCTGTCTATGCAGCCATGTTAGGTCAAACTTTACTGTTATCTGACCAACCGCTGTGCAACCTAACTCGCCTGCTGCTGTGATAGTTCTATGTGTAACTGTAACAGCCGTAAGGTTGTTTTTATGTTTTAATGCTGCTCAAGAGTCTTCAGCAGCCCATCCCCTCTGTGCTCCTTCGGCTATTGAGGAAGTATTAGCCTGAGCAGCAATGAGCAGCTGTGATTGGCTGAGAGTGTTAGATGTCTGCTTTTATCATTAGTGTCAACTACAGGTATGAATGGATATAACTACAAGGAAGTGTGTAAGTTGAGCCACACCTCCAGTAGGGGCCAGGCTGTGGAAAGCCAGTGGTCCTTTTTAAGTGTTTAACTGCTCAAAAAATGATTTAACGTTGAATGGAGGGACAGTGCCAGGGTACTACAGGCACTATAACAAATTCAATGAGATGGAATGGTTATAGTGCCTACACTGTCCCTTTAAGCATCTTACAGGTAGTTGGGTGGTCACTGGATTTTGTTGTGCCTGAAGATCACCACTTCAATAGAGAAGACATCTTAAAGGTTTCTCATATCTGTATATTAGAATAGAAATCTGTCCCTTCACATCATGAAAGATCTGGTAGTTTTACAAACACATTCAGTGTCAGACTAATACTCGCCTGCCACTGCATGAGGCTCAGATGTGAATTCCGCCAGGTCACTGGTGCCTGCACCTAAACTGGCTTTGAGTTTCTTCAGCATTGAGGCTCCAGCAGCCAATCGAAAGAGACCCTGAAAAAGGAAAGGTTAGTACTACATGTTTCCTCACATTATATAATTGTGACTAATGAGGATCATCAGCACTATGAGGATGGATGTTACAATATCACCTATGCTATATTTGCATGTACAGATAGTAATAACAAACACATACACACAAACAAGTCCAATGTAGCAACTCTGAACATTGTTTTCCACATAAATATGCAACACACAATGTTTTCTAAAAACAAACACATAGTTCTGTACACCCAAAACGCTAATAAATTCTACGCCACTATTATAAAATTACAACCCCAAACTTTTGTTTGAACAAGCTGCATGAACACACCTCTTCATGCATTCCCTCTGTTAGCAGCATTTTCACACAGGCAGATATGGGAACTGCTATCTCACAATCAAATTTAGACAAATGTGTCTCCAGGGGTACTCCATAAACTTCTGCAGGGGTCTTCTCCACCGGGGAACGAACTGCAAATAGAATGGATGGAATTAATCCAGTACTGATGACAGAATAGAACACAGTCATCTGAAACATCAGGGAGATTACATAAGAGAGAAAGGAAATTGCAGAAACATACCGGATGGTTAACACGTGCAATAGACAGAGAATGAGAGCAGGTATCCGAGGTCATATTTATCAAGCACAAACTGGTATAACTCTGTAGAAATTGTGAAATTCAGGCAATCACTATAAGATCCAATTAAACTTTCTTGCAAATGTCACCAAAACCGTTTACCAATATTTCTATGGTTTTGACCTGAGAAGAATTTTCCCAGTGGCACTGGATGATGCCAAAGGAGTTGAAGAGAGTTAAAATGGAAATTTTAAATGGTACATGATTTTGTATGGAATACACACAAGCTGCCTTGCTGTCTTGTTTTTTCATTTGTTTTTTAATTTATTTTGTGCCATTTTTCTCTGCTCCTGTTCTTGGATCCCTGTTTAACAATCACCTATAACCCCTTTTCCACAAGACACAACATTTTATTTAAAATTTATATTAAAGATTTAGGAAATTACATCTTAATCCAGTTCAGACAAGGCAAACTCAAGGCAAACATGCTTTATTTACGCTGACTACCAGATGCAAAGGACGGAGCTTATAACAATGATTGACAGGGAGCTGAGATGGAGGCAACCAGCTGCAGAATAAAAAGGTATAGCTGTCTACATTTAATAATATGTTTTAAACTTCACAATTTATTTGTTCAATGTAGGCATAAACATTATATTAAAAATCCTAGTGACAGTTTTCCTTTAAAATCGCTATTAATAATTCAGACTATAGAATCTATGATAATATCGTTTTGCTCCTGCTGTCAGTGTTTATGTTTCCATATCACATTATCTTGCCAAAACTGTATACATTTTTCTCCATCTCTGTCTCTACAGAAGCAGGTAACATGAATCATATGAGGCTGTATGCATTCCCAGAACTGCTGACAAAACCATTTCTGATAGGAGATCAATGTTTTCCAGATTCTTATAGCAGTGAAAGAAATGCCTGGGGAGCTTGGCAAACATTTACACACTCTAATAAAACACTATCTAAAACATAATTTGTATGGTATAAAGCAAATGTATATCAGCAAAAGGCAGATCATATGAAAAAAATGTAGGCAAACAAACAAATGACTGTTTACACACTTTAACTGTTAATTAGCCTTCTTTTCATGTCCATATTATTTCAACATGTATCTAGGCTTTTTTTCACAAACATTGTGATACATTATAAATTAATGTAGTAATCATCTGTTTTTATAGTGTTAAATACACATATTTTAGTGTTGCTTTTCTAATATGTTTGTCAGACTCTGTCTCTCCTAAAATACGAAAGAAGGAAATATGAATAGCTATAAAAAAAATATTGTATGCCTTTTTCAGTGAGTGCAGCCCTCCTGGTTAACAACAAAAAAAAAATCTTGAAATTCCATCTTGTGGATTAAACTGAGCATTAGAATGCACAGGGACATCTATTCCGGTAAAACACAGAAATGACTGACAACTAATTAAATAAACCTGAAAGTAATTGAAACACTTAGCTGCCCCCTAGTGGTGTAAAGTGTTTTTACACTGCTACTTGCAAAAAAAGGCTGTACTTACAGGAACAACAATCAGTGACAAAAAACAGAAATATTAGCTTGTCAACTCTCTAGCTTTGAAAATAAATTCAACAAAAAGTGATAGAGTGATGGACAGTCTTACAATAGCTTACACAACACAATAGCCTTTATTTGAAAACATTTGTTAAAGGAGAGATGTCACTTCCCATGTTTTTTAATATTATGTTTAATTATCCCTATATTTATTAACTATTTATTTGTGAGGTGTGAAAAATTAAATTAAATGTAGAAATATATACCCTTATTGGAAAGAGAAGTATAATACAAAATCAGTTATATAACATCAGTGTTATAGATATTCAATGAACATTTACAGAATTCACATCATATCAACAATTTTGAACTTATTGTAAATGTGTAAGTACAGGAGATATCAGAAAAACATCATATATTCTGTATAAATGTGCTCAGCCTCTCCTTTATACTTTTTTCTTTTTATCTCCCCTTCCCCTCCCCTTCCTTTCAGTTTAGTAATTCTATTTCAGTACGTCTATTTATATGTTAGAACAAAATAGCAAGAAATCAATGGCTGTGGAAAAAAAAGTGGGGGGGAAGGAATTACTGGGGCAGGGGACCAGGTTAGAAGGCTAAGGAAAATGATAATGTTTAAGTGTTTAAAGGGACACTATAGGCTCCAAAAGAACTTTAGCTTAATGAAGCAGAGTATAGATCATGTCCATGCAGTCTCACTGCTCAATTCGCTGCCATTTTGAAGTTAAATCACTTTGTTTTTGCCACCCTGCATGCGACTTACACAGCCTTCCTAAAAACTTCCTGTGAAGAGTCAGCTAATGTTTACAATTTCTTTATTGCAAATTCTGGTTAATTTAGCATTTCTTATCTGCTGCTCTGTTAATAGCTTGCTATACCCTGCAGGAGTGTCCTATATATAATTAATGTTTAATTTACAGAGCAGGAGATAAAAACCATTAAAGTAAGTTACATCTGATTGAAAATGAAACCATTTTGTTTTTATGCAAGCTGTGTAAGTCACAGCCAAGGAAGTTGTGGCTAGGACAGTTTAAAGAGAAACAAAAGTGATTTAACTTCTAAATGGCAGAGAATTGAGCAATGAGACTGCAGGGACATGGGCTATACACAAAAACTGTTTCATTAAGCTAAAGTTGTGTTGGTGACTACAGTGTGCCTCTAAGTTTGTATTCCATCCTTGCATGCCATATTTTGTTATGTGATGACAAGTTTTATCTGATCTTAGCTGACATTTCCTCCATACCTTTCTCATTACAGTATCAATTGTAGGGGTCACTTCTTTCCCTTTCTTCGCGATACACAGTCTATTCACACTGCATATTTTGCGACATAGGGATAACGCAGTAGAGTTTAAGCGTGTAATTGAATAGTTGCCATTTAATAAAGCTAATGTTTATTTCAAGCATGTCTCTCAATATTTTAAAAAGCCTTTCCCAAAGGATTGATAGCACAGGGCACATCCACCGCATATGGAAAAATGTACCGTGTGCTCCACATTTTGTCATATATAATGAGGATCTATTTCTAAACAATCTGGGTCAAGGTACCACCTAGACAGTCATTTGTATGCATTGTCCCTGATTGTAGTGAAGATAGATGATTTGTAACAGTTAGTAAACTTTTTTGACCATGTGCCCTATATCATATTCCCCTAATCTCTGGCATCTTGTTTTCTCTTGTTTCTTAAAAAGCCCTGCATTGTTGATATCAATCCGGTCTCAGAGGAATTGTATTTATAAAGGAGTTCAAATTGGGTCATATGGCCAGATGCAATAAGGAGAGTTGTTAACCTCACTGACTGAACACATATAAAACGATAATCAATGTTTCTAAGTCTAGATGCGGAGAAAGTATTCAATGAATACTAAAGTTGACTGGTCCTTCCTAGATGGTTCTCGACCACAAAGGTTTATTCCTGCAATCCAAGTTCTCTATTATCAACTGCCTGCGAGTCAGGCGATTGGGAGTCTCTTAATTGAAATTCAATATTTAAAAGGGAATAAGTCAGGGCCGTCCATTATAACCTTTTCTGTTTGCACTCTATATTGAGCCACTAGCGACCGCAATCAGAGAGAATGTGAACATCTCAGGTATTAAATATGGTGCCACAGATTACAAAGTTAGTCTTTTTGCAGATGGTATCCTTCTTTCTGTTTCCAATCCATGCTGTTTTTTACCCAATCTTTACAAACTAATCATAGATGTTTATAAAGTATCAGGCTATAAGTTGAATCAAAATAAATGTGAAGGTATCAATATTTCAATCTCAGATGGGAACGTTATAAACTTTGCTCACTTCTTTAACTTTAAAGCCAATCTTCATAAACTAAATTATTTAGGCATGATATTACCAGATTATGATTAAGAAAATATCTCTATGTTTCTAGCTACCCACAACTACTCTTCAACATAGGTATAGGAAGGTAACTCTGACCAAAACCAGTGTGTTCTTAAAACACAGTTTATCGGTTGGAGTAACCCTTTAAGATAAAGGGGGCACAAGGAAAAGAAAACCAAAAGAATAAAAAATGGCAAGGCCACTTAAGTAACATGACTGCTGCTAGATAAAAAAAAAAGAATGTGATATTCACTACCCCACCTCTACTTAAAAACAAATAATATAACTGCCGCAGCCAAACTTTGAAACACATTGACTATCTGAAGGATATTGCAGTCAATAGTCATACAAATAAACTACTAAAAATAACATTTCATTCTTTGTGATGCAATTTTTACTTTCACAGTTTTAAAGATAACACCAAATAACTTAGATGCAGGTGAATTAGATTCTCAAGTCAGTTTCTATCATGGATAACAGAACGCGGTCACTTCATATGCTGACCTACTAACCTGATTCCTTTAAAGTGTCCCTGACCTCTTTGAGTGTATCAGTCAGGTGGGCAAGAGACTTTTTATGATACTCTGCTTGTAGTTCTAGCAGCTGTGAGTGAGAGGGAAAAAGAGATATTTAATATGTACAATACTGGATTTGTACTCTGCGGTATACTGATTTTTGCTGAGCCCTTAGTAATAACCAGTGCTAATTTTGACAGTAATTTTTTATTTTGGTTTAGTCATAGTCTTTTAACTTAAATGCCATTTAGTTTTAGTCATATTTTAGTTATCTGAATTGATTTAGTTTTAGTTGACTATATATTATAAGATTTTAGTCGACTAAATCTATAGTAGATTTAGTCGACTAAAATCTAATGGGTTTAGTTTCTCTATAATTTCCAAACTCATTACATACTCATGGAGGAGTAAACATCTATTAACCTGTTACTTTTTACATGCAATCTAGACACATATTTAACTGTTGTGATATAACGTCTTTATTATTTACCTTACAATTAAATAAAGAAACAAAAAATATGGCCTTGTTTTTTCAAAAAAGGCCAGTAATTAGATATCTATTAATTATAACAAATTGCATATTACATTCTTCATTCTTTTATGTATGTGTATAAGGACTGTAGTGCGGTGTGTGTGTGTGTGTGTGTATTTAGGGACTGCACGCAGGGGGAATGGAGGCTTTATGGTGGGAAGAGGAATTAAATTACTATTTATTTATTTTTTGAAAAGTGGAACAATAGGCGTGCACAGCCCTTTTCATTATTGTGTGCACCATGAAAATCTTCCCATACTTATGTTATATTTTAACGTTGTGTAATATTTATCAACTGTTGCGTGGGTATGTGTTTTGGGTAGGTATGAGGTGGCTATAAATGTTGTAGTTGTGAGTGAGGTGTGTGTTGTGGCTATCTGTGTGTAACATATAAGGCTGGCTGTGTGTATTGTGAGTATAGTTGTGAGTGATGTTTTTGGCTACGTGTGGGTATCTGTAAGTGGTATGTGTAGCTATGAGTGATAAATGTAGGTCACTCTGAGTAATGTATGTTACAATGTGTGATGTGTGGGTAGCTATGAGTAATATGTATTGATGTGTGTGGGTAACGTTGCGTAATGTGTGTGAGCTGTCAGGGCTAACATGGGAGATAAAATACACTTAGGCATGTTATGGCACAGTAGCCCACTTTCATATTTTTAAAATTGAACTTTTTCTTTCAGATTTTAATAATATAAATAAGACGACCTCACTAAACCACACAAGTATACACATATAGACTGTACGTATGGACTGTAAGCTTGTTTGAGCATGGTCCTCTTTAATCTATCGTTCCTGTAAGTTTTCTTGTAATAGGCATATTTATAGTTAAATCCCACTCTTATAATATTGTGAAGCGCTACGGAATCTCTTGGCACTATATAAATGGCAATAATAATAATAATAGAGACGGCAGTCATGGAAGTGTGAGAGGTACACACTCACAGATGCACACATACAAACATACACAGACACATAGTACACCCTCGCAGCCACACACACAGAGACACATTCACACAGATACACATGAATACATACATAAGGACACCCACAAATACATATATAAAAATACACTCGCGTATACACAAATGTTTGCGCATGCATGGGTATCTACATCAAGACACACGCTCAAATACACACATACACTCAGATAGATACTCATATATATTTATGCATGCAGACATACTCACAGACACACATATTCACACTAAAATACATATTCACAGAGACATAAAAAAATACACACACACACACACAAACACAGATACACAATCATATATGCAGACACATTCATATATGTAGGCATGGCTAAACAATTACAGGTCCTGGGCTACAAGACAAATCTGAAATTTTGGTGCTGTAAGAATCCGGAAGCACCATCTATCGGCTGTCTGAGAGACAGCAACAAGAGGTGTGATTAGCCCTGTAATCAAAACACTGTGGTTTCTCCAAAATTGCAGTGTTTTGACTAACAGGGCTAATGGGAGAGGGGCAAGGCACCAGACCACTCCAGTGGGCAGAAGTGGTCTGGGTGCCTACAGTGTCCCTTTAAGGGTTATTGGAACTACAAAAGGGCACTGGACCATGGACGCAGGAGAATATATATGTTCAGGCCTTTGTGTCTTTGTGTTACTGACACATGCACAGAGTATCAGACAATGCATAACGCATAAAAAGACAACCTTGTGAATATAATGCTGCATAACCAAGGACACACTTGTGCATTTGAGATTGATGTGACTGTGTCAGTATAGGGGCGAAGGCCCATCCTTCATAATGGAACTGAAGCATATTGAATTCTGAGTAGTGGAATCTTGGGGATATCGATGCGATTGAGTCACTTTCGGCTAAAAACTCCAGTTTTCACAATGCTGCATTTTGTCACCAAGGGCTCAGGACTGTAGCGAGATTAACGAAGGCGTGACATTGAAACGTAATTTTAAAAAATAGTCCGGACCCAACAAAAAATTATTTTAACTAACAGTTAAAAAAAACAAAAAAAACTGTAAATTGGTGATCTATCTCACACTACCATACTGGGATCAATGACACAATCACAATCTCCCACTTGAAGTTGTGTGAGTGCCAAGCTAGTTAGGTAAGATGAACTTTATTTACAGTTCCCCCCCGCCAAAAAAAACCAGTTAACAAAAAAAAAAATGTAAATTGGTAACCTAGTCTCACACTTGATAGAGCCAGGCTATCTCCCACACAGACATAGCAAGTGTAAAAATACACAGTATTACTGCTAGTCTATTTCGCTCAATAGCCGCAGTCAAAGTGTCTGCTCCTCCTTTTTTCCCTTTATTGGTCAGATATCACATTTAGTGTTTGTTACCAACCCATCAATTATCTCTTTTCTGCTACCTCTTGTTTGGAGAGCAGATACATACTACATGATTGGGCAGACCTCTTGTCCAACATGGCAACTAATCTGTTTGCTTGCCTCCATCAAAAAAACAAAAACACAAAAAAATAGGCTCTTCTCTTTTGCATCCCCCTTTTTTTCCTGTTGCTAGGAACGGCACTCTGAATAAAGAATCGAAATGAGCATGTATGGGCTTGTGCAAATTGATTTTAATCGTTATTCTGGCATGTGGTGGTTTAGAAATTCGAATTTCAATCGTACAACCAAATGGCCCAAATTTCATTGAATTGCAGTTCAGCCCGAAATAAATATATAAGTCTACTGTTAACAGTTTTGCAAATAACTGAGTAGTTTATATGCATTCAAAATAATCCATGAAAATGGTTAAATGTTCAGAGATATCTGAATAAAATTCCTTGTCAAACTGCATGCACAGCGTTATAGTAATGGAATGCATTAGGTGAGGATAACATGCACTGTCGCTCAACAAATAGACAAAAAAGTGTCGTACAAACTTATTTTAATAGAACTCTATTCCAGACTTTCTCTTTTGTATTTATCTGCACTGCCATGCATGTTATTGAGTTTGTACCACAGCCACCTACATATGTGTATGTTGCAAAGATCTAGTGTCTTACAAGAAGAAAAAAAAAAAACAGGTATCATTTCATTTCTATAACTTTGTATAACCTTGGGTCTGTGCTAGTACGTGTGTGTGGTCGTGTGACTCACCCTGATGAAGTAATTCTCATATTCTTCTTCTTTGGTGGAGAAGTGATAAAGGTCGGACAAATAATCATCCTGTGCAAAAAAAAAAAAAAGAGAATATCTGGCTGCAAGATAAACATAACCACATCTCGTGCACACATGTATTTATTTTGCACACGTATATTTATGTTGAGGTTATGTAAAAAAGCTATACAAAAAGTAGACAAATAACTTTGTTTATATAGGTCATATAAATGCTATAAACATAAATTGGGCCCCTGTTTAAAAAAAAAGTTGAAACTACTGCTCAGAGAGAGGAGAGAAACAGATACATCCGTGCCAATTTTTCCACCTTTAGAACTTTGTCCTACAATTTATCTTAATACAGGACACCAGATTAATGTATTACCTTTAGTTATAGAGAAGTGTTATATCATATGATAGGTAAGTAAAACACTAATAGATTTCAAGCTCAAAATTTCAAAATGTAAAAAGCTTTTTGCATCATACCTACACCTGCTCAGGTCCCTATCTTCAGCATTAGAATGGGTATTGTGAAACATAGCAGTTGCTTAGTTTGGTTGGTTTTTGTCCAATAGGCATTTTATTAGATGCCAGCCATCCTAATTTCATAATAGTTCAGTTTCCAAATGTATTTCCTAGAGATCAACTTGAGCTTACATATTGCCATGAATCACAAAGGCATCCAATAGACAAAAAATACAATAAACAATAATATTTTTTTTTAAACAGCAGCTTACTAGGTATTGTTCCAAACAGAAGCACGACAGCTTGGTTTAAAAAAAAAAGGAAATAGCAAAAAATAAAATTAAAATAAAAACCACCAGCATTACATTTGTAGAAATGTATGTAATTGCTTCCTTCTTTCTATGAAGGACTGACACATAGTTCCATGCATGCCTACACGAGCACCCTGCTTTCCCACTCAGCAGAGATTTAGTTTGTAACCGGGTCTGTTTCACAAAAATATTTAGAAACTGTGAATGTGTTGAAATCTATGGTATGACAGAAATACTGTACTTAGATTGTGACTGACACAGACCTGTTAAAGGCATAGTATACATTAGTACAATTATTTTTAAATGTCAATTTTGTAGCAAGATCGAAGTTGGTAGCACTCCTTAATGCTGCATACAACCCTAGATTTATGTTTAAACAACAAGAAAATGGTTCAGCAATTCAGTTTAATTCCAGTGAACGATGTTTTTATTTAGGCAACTGCACACAATGAAACAAATGTAAATTATCTGATTAAACTGCACATCAGCTGACAGAAAGTATGGTTGCCACCAGGGCCGGACTGGGGAAAAAATTCGGCCCGGGCATTTTTAATTACAGCGGCCCACTGAAAAGGGGGCGGGGCCAGATAGGGTGTGTTTTGTCATCCCCAATGACAAGCACGCCCCATCTCAAAGTAAGCATGTTGGTTCAATGCTCTTCCAGGGCATGAGAAAAGGGCCCTGTATTTGATCTGCACAGCGCAAGCAAATTTAATAACATGCTTGCATTGTGTTTGCTTGAAACTTCAGGGGTTTCCATAATTGGAATACTCACTGTATCCCATTTATGGAGACACTATGTGTTTGCTTAATGGGTATCTAGTGTGTTCATAGGGGATCCTGAGTGTGTATGTCAGAAATGTAGTGTGTGTGTAAGTGGTGCAGCATCTGTGTGTAGGGGATCTAGTGTGTGTTTGAAGGACTCAGGAGTGCGTATAGGAGATCTAGTGAGTGTGTGAGTGGTGCAGTGTGTTTGGGGGGTGCTGTGTGTGTGAGGGGTGTAGTGTGCATTTGTGAGGAGTATAGTGTGTGTGGGAGGGTGCTGTGTGTGTGGGGGGGTGCAGTATGTGTGTGGGAGGGTGCAGTGTATGTGTGTGTGAGGGTGCTGTGTGTGAGGGTGCTGTGTGTGAGGGCGCTGTGTGTTAGGGCACTGTGCGAGGGTTCTGTGTATTTGAGGGTGCTGTGTGAGTGAGGGTGATGTGTGTGTGAGGGTGATGTGTGTGTGTGTGAGGGTGCTGTGTGTGTTGGGGTGCTGTGTGTGTGTTGGGTTGCTGTGTATGTGTTGGGGCTGTGTATGTGTTGGGGTGTGTGTGTGTGTGTGTGTGTGCTAGGTTGCTGTATGTGTTAGGGTGCTGTGTCAATGTTAGGATGCTGTGTCAATGTTAGGGTGCTGGTGTTAGGGTGCTGTGTGTGTGTGTGTGTTAGGGTGCTGTGTCAATGTTAGGGTGCTGATGTTAGGGTGCTGTGTGTGTTTTAGGGTGCTGTGTGAGTGTTAGGTTAGGGTGCTGTGTGTGTGTTAGGGTGATGTGTCAATGTGTCAATGTTAGGGTGCTGGTGTTAGGGTGCTGTGTGAGTGTTAGGGTGCTGTGTCAATGTTAGGGTGCTGGTGTTAGGGTGCTGTGTGTGTGTTAGGGTGCTGTGTGCTGTGTTAGGGTGCTGTGTGTTAGGGTGCTGGTGTTAGGGTGCTGTGTGTGTGTGTTAGGGTGCTGTGTGTTAGGGTGCTGTGTGTGTGTTAGGGTGCTGGGTGTGTGTTAGGGTGCTGTGTGAGTGGTGCTGTGTGTGTGTTAGGGTGCTGTGTCAATGTTAGGGTGCTGGTGTTAGGGTGCTGTGTGTGTGTTAGGGTGCTGTGTCAATGTTAGGGTGCTGGTGTTAGGGTGCTGTGTGTGTGTGTTAGGATGCTGTGTGTGTGTGTTAGGATGCTGTGTCAATGTTAGGGTGCTGGTGTTGGGGTGCTGTGTGTGTGTTAGGGTGCTGTGTCAATGTTAGGGTGCTGGTTTTAGGGTGCTGTGTGTGTGTGTTAGGGTGCTGTGTCAATGTTTGGGGCTAGAGTTCACTCTCGCGATACCCGGCCGGTTGCCATAGCAACGATCCGGATCTCGCGAGAGAAACCCGGCGGAGCTGCAAGTTAGAGTTCCGCCGGGTCCTCTCTCCAGGATGGCTCTATCCCCCCCTCTCTCCCCGCCGGCGGCCAGATCTGACAGCATGTGGGCCAGTGAGGGAGATCTTTGATCTCCCCACCGGCCCTCCATGGAAGACAGCGGGGCCGGCGTTCGGATAGTGCCGGCCCTGCATAGACCGGCAGGGGAGATCCTGGGACCTCCCCTGCCGGCCTCGGCCCATGGACACCGCGGCCCACCGGGCAATCCGGGCCTGGTTGCCACCTTTCTCAGAAAAAAATATCAGCCATGCTAACTTCCACAGGTAATTATATATGTGTGACATCACAGGACATGACATCACATGGAGTGACATAATAGGAAAGGAAAATACATTGGTAAGAGGAAATTTCCATCAATCACTAACAAAAACTACTTACAATTTCATTTTGCAGTATAGAGGTATTGCAATGCAGTTTGGAGAGATTGGAACAGTCCTCTCAATACAACCAGTATCAGTGTGTAATGCAGTTATATTAAAGGACCTTAATTGGTGACTTTGGGGTGATTTCAAAATTAAGACTAGGAAGATCCAGGGATATATATATATAAATTCTTCAGTCTTAATTTTGAAATCACACTGAAGTCACCAATTAAGGCCCTTTAATATAACTGTATTACTTTATATATATGTACACACACATCTTCAGCGACATTGGTAGAAGTTAACATAGTGAAGGAGTTTAAGCATGCATGGGATAGGCATAAGGCTATCCTATCTATAAGATAAGGCCAGGGACTAATGAAAGTATTTAGAAAATTGGGCAGACTAGATGGACCGAATGTTTCTTATCTACCGTCACATTCTATGTTTCTATTCCAGGCAATTGCCAACATCTAAGATGGCGGGCGCAAGGCAGAATCTGTAATACATAGCGACCACTTCCACAATTGTAGATCTACACTGTGCTGTGACATTTTATCATATTTACATTTATGCTAATCCAAATTGCTCATATAATATTTATTTACTTCCTACAATAACCTATTCTTTTATGTATAACTATACCGGATTTCCACCCAGACCAAAAATAACGTCCAGATTACTTCCGTAAACGCCATTTCCGGGTGACTTACATAACATGACTACAGTCCACAACATAAAGGAACCGGATATGACACACATCACCCTCAGAAGACAACGAGCGGAAATTGGAAACAGCCGTGATACACACAGGAACCAGCTAATATCAACCAAAGACAATATAAATCACCACGACCTAAACCACTAGAATCCACTTTTGAAAACGCTTTGGTGAAACGCATCAAGTGAGGCGTGAGGACGTCTAATTTACACCAGAGGACTGGTTTTCATATTCATTTATTTTCATTTACATTTTTTTATATATCAAGTTTTATTAATAAAGTACTTATTCTCTACATATATATCCAGCCCTTTATATACTTACCTCACATCCAATTCAGGTTGCTGACTCGGGTCCACGTATATCCATAGGTGGGAATTGTTCCACCTAAAGTTCTATACACTAGAGCAGCTCCATGCTCTAGGTTATGTAAGTTGGTTTTATCCTTTTAAAGTCACTGTCACTTTACATACCATACCATTGGATTTTTTATCTTATTTTTTTATATATGATGACCATCACCCACTCAAGTACAAAGCATTGATGATATCTACAAAGACATCCTAAAACAGGGATTATTTCGTCCAGGCCAATAGCTCTATAAAGCACGAATGTTCCTTTGGCATTATTTTATATATCGCACTAGTTTATCATTACGCTGCACTATTATTTTATCTTTTTATTTTAAGATACATGTTCTTGGAAATCGTCACCTCCTGTTACGTATGTAATTTGAAGTTCCAGTGCTGTTAACCTTGTTTTTGATTGTATTTATTTGTACTTTACAAGGGTTTGAAATTATCTTGAGAGCTGCTTCCCCACCAGCTATAGTGAGACCTGTGTGTCTCTATTGATAAGTAACACCTGTCTAAATACGAAGTCCTGTGCAAATTCCAGAACCATCTCATGTTGATTTGAGACCTGCAGGTCTACTTTATAATCTTGTTGTTATTTTACATGCTCAGTTATCCTTGATCGAGACCTGCGAATCGCCGGGTGTTTCATTATTTCACTTGAAAATGTGAGATAAAAAATATTTACAAAAAAAAAAAATTAATCCACAGACAGGGGTGGTGTGGCTAGGGCTGCATAAAACAGAAACAAAAGTGATTTAACCCATAAATGGTAGGGAATTGAGCAGTGAGATGTCAGGGGCATGATCTACACACCAAAACTGTTTTGTAAAGTTAAAGCTGCTTTGATGCCTATAGTATCCCTTTAAGTTTTATTTTTACAACAAAGTCCTAGAGTGCTTTGCATTTTTTTTCTCTTTTCACAATTACTTCTCTCTGAAGCCTGGTTCCTCAGGTTCACAGGTATCTCTGCCTTTTCTGGCTTTCAAAGTTGAATGACTATTGTCAAAATGCACTTCTGCGTTACAGAAGAGGGGATGAGTCACAGAAGAGGGGCTCTACTTTAGGTGCCGGTGGAGCCACAGTTTTTGTTTAAAGTAAATAAATAATATAATATATATCAATCATTCTAACTCATTGGCTTTCAGTAATCTCATTGTTCTTAGCCTTGACAAAAGCACATAACATTCCCCAAGGTGAAATACCACTGAGGTATGCAAATTACAATTTTCTCCAAAGCTAACCCTTATGAACCGTAGCTCAGATTTTATTTATGTGCAAACAAAGTCACAAATGACAATAACAAGTCTCATATGAACACTCGTGGCTTAAGGTGTTGTTTAAAAAGCAGTGAGCTGTATTAAGCTGACAAACAAGAAACAAACATTTAAACCAAAATAATAGAAGTTGATTATTTTCCAGCTTAATTGTTGCAATTCATCGCATTGTTCTAGTCAATAAATCCCAAAGGTTTATTTTTCACAATTTTTTTATTATAATTTTTTTATATAACCACAAGCAGTCAGTGGCTGTATATTTACAAATAAAAGTTACCAAAATACCTTACAAAAAAACATGTCTGGCACATGCAATAGTGCTAGCTCAATTAAAGCTGCATTTTGGGGAGGTGGGAATTTTGGGGGGAGGGAAGGGCGCAAAGAGAGGTTTGCAAAGTGAAATGTTGGTTTGTATGGTGGTGGCCATCATTACTGAAGATCCTGTGAGATGTTGAACAGATAATATCATACTTGCACAATAAGGTGCCATAAACATTTATTGCACATCACATGATAGAATGCCTGTTCACATCAGACGTCATGAACATCACACTGTAAATGGCAGGATATGGTGGCAGAAATTCTGCCATTTACCAAAGATCAGAGCTTACATTAGGCAAAGCAGTTCTTTCATGACAGGTTCACTTTAAGAAAATGAAGAATTATAAATGTCAATTGGACTCTTCTAAACCAATAGATTGCTCTGGGAGGAGGCAATAAATTTAACAAAAAAAAAAATTGTAGGGGCACTAGAAGTCAAACATTGTCAACTATAGTTATTATGTTGCTGAAATAAAACCACCTTGGACTGCTACATTTTTTGTTTTATTTATATATATATATATATATATATATATATATATATATATTTTTTTTTTTTTTTTTAACATACTACTAATTCTGAAAGCTTGGGGGCATCTACTAAATGTAGGAAACTCTCAATTCTGAAAGCTTGGGAGCATAAGTCACTTATCAGGAAACACCTGATAAGTAACTTATTAACCAAGTATAATATGTCCAGGCACACACATTACTGGGCCTTTCAAAGAGCAGGTGAGGAGAAACTGTACACTAAATCCATGTGGTACGTGGTGAGATTATATGTACTAACTTTGTTTATATATCTGTATCTCTGCAGTAAAGTAAATAAGTTACTTGATTTAATATCAGGATAACTGACATGGTTTTCTTATTTCCTACTGCGCTGATAAGAAATATAGCTATATCACTATTGCACACGAGATCTAGTAAGCCAAATGTGTATTTATGATAAATTATCAATCAACTAACTGATATTTAGCTTAACGAGGAACCATCACTTCTCTAGAAATTATACTCTGGATAAAAACTTCCCCCATCCCCCCAGCCCACATCCTTGGCTATCTCAGCTAAACCAATCCAAATGTGATTTCCTGAGATCATGACTTATGATGATATCAGACAAGGAGCCAGTGCCAGCAGAGTGAAAGAAAATTGAAGATTTCACAATACTCAGGAGGGCAAGGGGGGCTAGGGGGTGTATATAGTGTTCTTAACACTATAGGTATACATGTTTGTGTTCCTGACCCTATAGTGTTCCTTTAACAAAAAAAAATTCCTCTTAAAGTTGGCAGAGACCACAAACTGGTTGAATTTCTTTCAGTCTTCTTGTTGTTTTCAGTGGGAGCTCTATGCATTTACATAATACCATGCCCCCCTGTAATTGGACAGCATCTATTTCCTTAGTCGATGAGCTGTAAAGATGTTTACTTACAAATTAATTTATTCAAGGTTGTACATGCATGCTGCTGAACATGTTGCATTGATTAAAAAATTATAAAAGTTAGTTATACATCAAAACTGCTTTTTCTGTACCCAATGAAGACCATAGGAACATAGAAACATAGAATGTGATGGCACATAAGAACCATTCGGCCCGTCTAGTCTGCCCAATTTTCTAAATACTTTCATTAGTCCCTGGCCCTATCTTATAGTTAGGATAGCCTTATGCATATCCCACGAATGCTTAAACTCCTTTACTGTGTTAACCTCTGCCACTTCAGCTGGAAGGCTATTCCATGCATCCACTACCCTCTCAGTAAAGTAATACTTCCTGATATTATTTTAAACCTTTGCCCCTCTAATGTAAGACTATGTCCTTTTGTTGTGGTAGTTTTTCTTCTTTTAAATATAGTCTCCACCTTTACTGTGTTGATTCCCTTTATGTATTTAAATGTTTCTATCATATCCCCCGTCTTGTCTTTCCTCCAAGCTATACATGTTAAGTTCCTTTAACCTTTCCTTTTAAGTTTTATCCTGCAATCCATGAACCAGCTTAGTAGTCCTTCAATATCCTTCTGGAGATCTAGTCTCCAGTACTGCGTACAATACTCCAAGTGAGGTCTCTGTACAATGACATGAGCACTTCCCTCTTTCTACTGCTAAAACCTCTCCCTATACAACCAAGCATTCTTCTAGCATTTCCTGGTGTTCTATTAAAACTGTCTGCCTACGTTTAAGTCATCTGAAATTATTACCCCTAAATCCTTTTGCTCAGATGTTGAGGTTAGGACTCAACTATCAAATATTCTGTACTCTGCCCTTGGGTTTTTACATCCAAGATGCATTATCTTGCACTTATCCACATTAAATGTCAGTTGCCACAGCTCTGACCATTTTTCGAGTTTACCTAAATCATTTGCAATTTGGCTTATCCCTCCTGGAACATCAACCCTGTTACATATCTTAGCATCATCAGCAAAAAGACATACCTTACCATCAAGACCTTCTGCAATATCACTAATAAAAATATTAAAGAGAATGGGTCCAAGTACAGATCCCTGAGGTACCCCACTGGTGGCAAGACCTTGCTTTGAATATACTCCATTTATTACAACCCTCTGTTGCCTGTCATTAAGCCACTGCCTAACCATCTGCTTTTGATTTCACTTGACAGGTGGTGACACACATTCTCAGTGTGAAGTTTCACTTACGTTACCTGGATTTGTTAAAGCTTGCCCTACAAGGATTAAAGATGACATTCTATTATTTATTTATTTATTTTGTTCATTAGTCATAATTTATTTGTACATTAGTTTTAGTTTGTTAGTCCCACGCCACACTATCCTCTTAAAGTGCATAGCCCTGTTAACCAGGCTTTGCTAAAGTGCTTCTGGCTTTCAAACAGAAAACTATTTATTGTTCTTTTCCATTCTGCTTTGTTTGATATGTTTATATCGCACTCTTTTGATATAAGCAAGAAGGATGTGTATAAAAAAATGATTATTTTTAAATAATAATAATATGAAGCACTACTTCTCTGCCATGTAGTTAAATTAATTCATAAAGTAAGAATATGCCAATATAAACAGGTGTCCACTATTAGATACACAATTTAAATGATGGCAATAATTCCATGATAGACATTGATTTTCACAAATCAAATTTAAAAAAAAAAAAAAATCGGATAGCAATTTTGGGAAAAATAAATCATATAACTTTGCTCAATACAGCTGGCGAACAAATCAAAATCAATCAACCATTCATACTAGCTAATCAGATTATGTTCCAATCAATATGTCATTCACATATAGTTTACAAAAAATTTTAAGTGGTAAATACCACAACAAAATGCAAAGAAATTAACAAAAACTAAAAAGGACATTCTGGGCACCAATACTACTTCAATGCATTTAATAGGTGTAGGCCTCATTATTATATTGTATATTGTATTATTGTATTTTTTTGCATGCTCAAATCTTTGAGTTTTGCACAAAAAATAAAAAAGTTTTGCATAAAGGTAAATACATGGTTTGCAGAATGTTGCACTTAAGCCTGCCTCTTTAGCCACAACCCCTCATGCCAGAAACACTTCCTTATCAAATGTATGACTAAAGAGAAAGGCTTCTGCAAAACGTTGCTATTTTGTTTTTTAATGCAAAAACTATAAAGATGTAAGCATGCAAAAAATACAGCATATTAATGAGCCCAAAATCTATCAAATGGATTAAAGTTGTATTGGACCCCGGAATGCACCTTTAAATATGAATCTACTGAATCTATTATAGTAAACATAACATAAGAACTTGTAGACAGATTACAATATGAATATTTCATCATGCATTCAGAAGATGAAACTTAAGATTTCTATAATGATTAATGCATGTTATAAAATGCATGTTATAAAAATTGTATAAACAGCATACAGTAATATAGGAGAATGCAATGATATGATTGATAGACTTTTGGTAACACAGAAAGAAGTTGTTAAACTAGATTTAAAAGCATATTAAAGCATTAGTCCAAGGTAGATTGGATCACCCCTTTTCATGCATTATAAATCATGCTTTAAACAAAAAGAAAAAAATCACTCATGTAAATATGTATAAATTCCTCATTAAGTCTAGTAAAGTTGATCTATACCAGGGACTAGCACATGTGCAGTAATTCCCCTATAAAGACCAATTGGATCTTCTCACACACACACCTGATACAGCCATACCTTGACTTCAACAGAAGTAAGCCAATCATACTTGCACTGTGCACACCTGCAAGTGGTTCTCATTAATTCCTCAGAAGAAATGGCAATCATATGGCATAGTGAGCCTTGTAACCTCACCAAAAGCTCTCTGAAAATGCAAACATGATTTTTCAAAAAAATTGCGAGATAATAAAACTCCCAGAATAGTTTTCAATTTAGATACAAGAAGAAATAAAATGTTCTTTAATATGAATATAACCTTTTTTCTGGGTACAAAAATATTAAATATACGTAAACTTGCATAAATATATAGTTACCTGCAGGGCCGGATTAACATAGGGGCTGATGGAGCTGCAGCTCCAGGCCCATGCCCGTGAAATGGGCGCACTGATTTAAAAAAACAAACAAACAGCTCAGAGAAGTGAGGGATGGGGGGAAAGGCTGCAAGGAGACATGGGGGCACTGGGAGATATGGGGATACTGAGACACTAAGTGACATTGGGAGACATTATGACACAGACACTTGGGGACACTGGAAGACATGGGGACACTGAGACACTAGGGACACAGTGTCCCGATGTCTCCCAGTGTCCCCATGTCTCCCAGCCAGTGTCCCTGGTATCTCAGTGTCCCTGGTCTCTCAGTGTCCCTGGTCTCTCAGTGTCCTCATGTCTTCAAGTGTCCCCTAGTTTCCCAGTGTCCCCATGTGTCCCAGCCAGTGTCCCAAGTGTCTCACTGCCCCCATGTCTCCCAGTGTCCCTGGTGTCTCAGTGTCCCTATGTCTTCAAGTGTCTCCTAGTTTCCCAGTGTCCCCATGTGTCCCAGCCAGTGTCCCTAGTGTCTTAGTGTCCCCATGTCTCCCAGTGTCCCTGATATCTCAGTGTCCCCATGTCTCCCAGTGTTCCCATGTCTCCCAGTGCCCCAAGTGTCTCAATGTCCCCATTTCTCTCAGTGTCCCCAGGCCTTCCAATGTCCCCTGTCTCAGTGTCCCCATGCCTCACAGTGTCCCATGTTTCTGAGTGTTCCTAGTGTCCTAGTGACATGGGGACCCTGGGAGACATGGGGACACATAAACTAGGGGACACTGGGAGACATGGGGACACTGAGAGACATGGGAATACTGGGGGACACAGGGAGACATGGGGACACTGGGCGACATGGAGACACAAGAGGACACTTCAAGACATGGGGCATTGAGACACTGTGATACATAGGGTCACTGGAAGACCTAAAGACATGACACTAAGGGACTCTGGGACATGGGGAGACTAGGAGACACTGGGAGAAATGGGGCACTGAGACACTGTGATACATAGGGACACTGTGAGACCTGGGGTAATCGACACAGGGGGACACTGAGTCATGAGGGCACTGGGAGACATGGGGGCACTGGGGAACAAGGGGACACTGAGACACTGCAAGACATGAGGACACTGATACATAGGGACACTGAGACAGTGGGAGACTTGAGACACTGGGACACTGGGAGACAGGGAGACACTGGGAGCAATTAATCTATACAGCAGAATCAAACTGTAAGTAGTTTTTTTGGTGATTTAACAGCATTTTCTCTTATGCCACTCCTTGTGATTTACATCATGTGATGTCACCTATACATAATTATTATGCAAATTTGTAAGGCCATACTCTTGCTTAAGTATGGAATCTTAAGAAGGATGTATGGGAACAAAACTTGTGTGGACTAGCTGACAATGAAATTAGTTAAGGTAATGCTGACTTTGGTCTCTCTAACACTGTGGCATGTTCCCTTTCTTCTACACTCACTACATACAGCTTTTCTCTGTCCCAGATTATATACCAGGACAGTGAGTTCTAGGGGACAGTCCGTAGAAAGCGTGGAGTACGTGCATCATTATACTGTCTGCATAGTATGCCCTTAGTTGGCCAGCTTGCATGATTGGAAGGCAGCCTGACATGCATTCATGCCAGGTTGGCCTTCCAATTCTTTGGGCAGACATGCCCCCTTTTTGGGCATGTTCACCCCTTTTGGCAGGTTATGTGATTTGCATCAGTGGCACACCCTTTTACCGCACCCATTGACTTCCTGCTTCACTGGACACTGGTGTTAGGGGTCATGGATTTACTTGAAAGATGAAAACATAAATTAGAGAGAGATTAGCATAGGGCATGTGTTTTCTTATAGCTGCTGTCTTCTTTCCCTCCAGCACCATCCCCATCAGATACATGACCCTTGGGAGTGTTTTAGTGTTTTTTTATATCCACTACTATCTATGTCTATATTATGTTCACATACCTTGCTTTGTTCGAGTCTTCTCCTCAGCTCCTCTTCCTCCTCCTTGAGACTTTCCAGTTTGGCTGGGGTTGTTGTGCTGCCTACTCCCTGCCCCCCAGAAATATTCTTTTGAGCTTGAGATAATCTGCAGTTAAAACAGAATTTTAAATACAAAATTTCTTTTTTGTACTTTTATACATGTCACATAACAGAATATCTACGTATATACATACACTTGTCATATAGCTTTGGCGGGACAATAACAGTCCTCTCACAGAGAGGTATTTGTACTCATGCATATACAGGTATGTGTGCATGTACGCACCTGTCAAATTGTAGTACCTATACACACCAACCAGTACTGTGTACCCAAATACTCCTGTTACATAGTGATACTTAGCTCGGTGTATATGCCTGTTACACAGGTTTACATGTAGATTTTGAAATTATATTTATCATCACCTGCTTTTTGTATTGTTCCAGTCTGTGATCAACTTCTGAAGCTGTTTACGGCGCTTTAGGATGGCAGGTAATTCCTCCTGAGGGGGGAGAGATGGGGCTGTAGGTGGTAGTAATGGAGCAAGTGTGCCGAAACAGAAAGTAAAGATGGGATTGCAGGCCATAGTGAGGTAGAATAATGGAGGTAGAATAAGCAGATGATTATTACGGTAGTGAAGCTGATAAAGCAGGTGACAATGGTGAGGAGGGCTGCAGATGAAGCAGGTGACACTGATGGTGTGGGAGTTGGTGAAACATGTGAAAATGATTGCCAGAAGTTGGTAATAATGATGGTGGAGCAAGTAACAACAATGGCAGCGGAGACAATTAAACATGTGATAATGACAATGGGAGATGTGGTAAAGCAGGTGATGTTGGCCGGTAAGTTTCCAAAGTAATCGCTTGGGGTAAATGGTGGTGTGGGGGCTGGTGGAGCATTTCATATTAATGGTGGCAGGATACAGTGATGGCATGAAACTGGTCAAGAAGGTAGTGGGAGTTGATGTTGTGGGAATACTTCAACAATCCAGATGTGGAGGACTACATCTCCTGTAAAGCTCTTAAACCATAATGCTGGCAAAGCATGATGGAAGATGAAGTCCTAACATCTGGAATACCAAAGGTTACTTATCCCTGTTGTAGGGTATACAAGTAATGGTGGGGAAGCTGGTAAAGCAAGTGAAAACAACGGTTGTAAGGAGTGAAACAGATGATAATGATAGTGGGAGAAGTGGTGAGATAAGCGAGGTTAATATACAGATCATAATTAGAGATAGCATAAGACAGAGTTCCGTCTGAAAGGAAAGGTTACATTACCTCACTAAGCTTGTTTAGTGGTTGTAATACATCTCTCTCCATGCAAATTTCAAACTCCGCCAAATCTTGAGCCAGTGTGGTCTCAACCCAGCAACCCATTTCCAGTGTCCTCCTGTAAGAAGAGGTAAAAAGCTATATTGGGCTGGTTATGAACGGGTGGGCTGTGTGATGGTTAACATTCTATGGGTGTGTTAGAAGATTCAATATCATTGTCTTTTACACAGTGTCTATAGTTCTGATCATTCTCTATATTCAGAAATATGGATTTACTAGCTGAATTAATAAAACAACACACTGGAGGTCTACTTATGGGGAGTTATATGCATTGTTTCATTGTGTATTGACTCATATTCGCTCACCTTAGACTTGACTCAAAGTCAATTTCCTTTATACAATCAGCCATTGCTAGTGAAAGAGACATCAGGGCCAACTTTTTCTGTAAAAGTGACAGAAATTGTGTTGTTTATTCTTCAAAGAACACCATCTAAAATTCATATAACCCAATAGTGAAAGATTAATTGGTCAAACACAGTACAACCAGTTTTAAGCAATAACCGATTACAGTTTGGCAAAGCTCACCAGTCTTTTCTCCATGTCGGAACCTAGGGGGCCTTGCATACAGCTAGCCAAGCGTTTTCCAACAAGGTGAGCCACTTTTTTCACTGGTTCTACCTGCTGGTCTGCCTGACAGTCACAAAAGAGAAAATAATCCATTAGTAGGGCTAGGGCGAGGTTACTACTTTTATTTTCAATTCATTATTGGTACAATTCCACTAAGCACACAATAAATAAATCTTAGTAGTCAAGTGATGATATTACACAATAGACTTTCTCTGGATAATTAGAACTAAACACATGGAAACAGAGTTGCTTCAGTTCCTCTTTCTGTACAGGAACTTGTTTTTAAAAATATGTTCTACAATATGTCCCATATTGAATTAAAAAAAAAACTATTTCCCTGTAAAATATCTGTATTTATAGATGTATTCTTGGAAATAAATGAGACAATATGATCCCAACAAGCTATAATATGAAATCTCTTAGTTCAATGCTTTAGACTAATCTACCCCCAACAAACAAACCTAGGATAAACAGTATAAAAATGCATTACTGGTCCTTAAAATGGATGAGCTTAAAGGGACACACATCACTTTGAGACAACTGTCTCACTCTGCAGGCTGAAAAAAGCTGGTAAATTTTATTTATTTATTTTTTAAATCTTTTTCTTTCTTATGCTTTCCACACCTACTCCAGTGAGGACATTGATTGGTTAGATCCCTAAGAATGGTGGAAAAGTTCATTGGTCATGCTTGACAGATTTACACATGTGCAGTTAGAAGATCTCTTTGCCTTGCAATATCCTAACAGGGGGAGAAGAGATGGAGTCTGATCAGTGTGATCATGTAGACCAGGCTCCAGTGTTGGTTTTCTATCTCCTGCTACTGCAGATACTGCTAATACCCTATTTCTGCCATCAGTGGACTGTTCTGAAACAGGGGTGTGTGGGTATAAAGGGAGGCTGAAGAAACTACCCTACCTTAGAGGCTTGCCTAAATAAAGCAATCTTTGGGAGTGTAGCCAACAAATTTTATTTTGAACTCCTCCTTGTCACAGGTGCCTCATCCCAGGGCCCTATTTAGCCTTGTACTGCAGAGAGCCCTAGTTGGATTTCTTTCCCCAAGTAAGTGGTTAATCTCATAAGAGCAGACATTAGGCTGTTAGTGTAGGACCTGCCAAAGATGGGGTACATTGACGATGTGGCAGGTTTATGCAATGTATGATCATATAATGTAACTAAACCCCCATTATGTTTGCCTAGATTAGGTGTTTTTTTGTTTTGTTTTTAATATTAAAATCTGTCAACATTGAAGTTGCTGTTTAGTGGATGAAGGACTGCGCTGGATCTTGTGTATTGTGTGTAGTATTTAATAATGCAATCTGACCAACTTTATAATCATTTATTACATACTTTTTAATAGTTCAAAGTTCTCCTTGCTTTATTTTGGTTTGTATATTGGTTTACAAGTGTTTGCTTGCTGGTTTAAAAAAATATTTTTCAAAAGATGCATGTCCCTTTAAAGTTAAGGATAACGAGTCTGATGACAGCCAGAAGATATACTAAGGAACAAGCAGAGGTCACAAAACACAAAAATACACAATCTCGTAAAATTAGCAAAGGTACAGGATAGCAGAATTGTGGGAAAACAATAAACCAAAGGAAGCACACAGAATTCTCAACACACTCTTATGTATCAGAGACCACAAAAGGGCAATTGGCAAACCGAAGAGTAGTCTTAAATACCCAAATGTGGATTTTCATTGGACTGGTCAAATTTTCCTGCATCACGGAAATGAAGAAGATGGTTGTGACTCCAAAATAAAATAAGACAGGTAATACTGGAAATAAATGGACACAGGGATGGAGCGGTCCACATCAAAATTTGCACCCAGAATGACATATAGTATCAATTCACATCCGACGCCATCCTGATGGGACAGAGCTTGTGACAGAATAATCCTTGGAATTTGTTTGAGATCACCTCATTGGGCAGAAGTCTAAAGTCTGCCATCGACTTAGGCACATGCTGATCAACCTTAATCAGGTCAGCTGTAAGGCATTGGTGAGCAGGTAGCAGTCTTTAACAGCAAATATATTCAATTTTTTTTTTAACTCTAGTCTCCAGTTCATTAAAGTGTGATTTAATTGCATTAAGTGAAATAACTAAATTTCATCTATACATTTTGCTATCCAAATTGCTAGCAAATGCACAGATTTAAAAAGGCAAAAATAATAGAATACAATGAAGAAGAATGCATTACAGCAAGCCATGCCTAGTAATCACGAGAATCCTCTTTTAAGTGGTTCTCCTGCTTACCTTAAAATCATCTGATGTGCATGAACCACAAATCACTGTGCTCTGAACTGTAATTCAGCCTGTGATTCAGGTTTCCTCCCTGAAATCCTCTGTGCCACTAGCAAAGCACACACTACCAGAGTTTACATATAGGCAACATGATCAGTTGAAGGATATGCAGTGGCAATTTTGTATCATTCCATACCAATATCATATCATTTAATGGTTAAAAAAATGGAGAGCAGAAATTCAGAATCCACACAAAATCAATTCACTAAACATACACACTTTTGTGTCCATGAATTATGATATATATAAAAATGTCATTATTCCAGTGCAAAAGTTGTGCTTGGGACAATGCATAGTCTTCTTTTGTAATTTCTCTCTTAACATCTGTCCACCCAACCCTCGGCTCAGCAAATGTTATTGCTTCACAAATGTACCTACACACAAGCACCATCTCTATCAACCTCTCCTCCCCCTCTTTTACATTGTAATTCATTTTGTGTTATGACCCAATTAATCCTAGATTTTATTGGGCATTGTATCCTGACCTATAAAGTCAGCCTGTGGACCTCATCACAGTGTCCAGTCCTATCGCTTGAATTATTCACCCTGGTTATTCATGTGCCTACCTATATTTATCTCTACCAGTCATATCAAATCATAGGCCTGGCAAAAAGCTATCTGGTCCTTCATGGTTTCCTGGGCACCTATCACTCCAACTTCCTGTCAGGCAGTATATGAAAAGAGCTTTGCAGCAATATGTAGGGAGATTGTCCAAAGGGAACACTGCGACTTATACATTTTACAAATGGCAAGGCAATGAATTCGCTCTGCTGAAATACTAAATCTCTCTCTCTCTCTCTCTCTCTCTCTATATATATATATATATATATATACATGCATACATTGATTGATCAGCATTGATCAGGATATATATATATATATATATATATATATATATATTTATGTATATATATATATATAACCCCCATGTTTAGTGCACACAATATATATATCCAGAAAACCATGGCAGATCTAGAACTATTTAGCAGAAATCTTATTCCCCCTGCCCCCTCCCAAAGAAAATAACTAAAAAGGTTATAAATATACATATACATTTGGTAGATGGCTGGAAAATCTTTGGGTCCAAAGTACAAATTAGTAGCCCTTTTTGGCTCTCAAATTTACTTATAGAGCATTGGCAAAGATTTTTTTTTTTTTTTCTTCCCAACATCATACTTACTTATCATAGTCTGGCAGCCTAGTCAATCACAGATACAGCAGTACAGTAGGATCCCAGCAGGCCTCTCCCATCTGAAGAACAGTGGCCACCAAATCAAGCACAAGCCAACACTGTGTTGAGATAGCACTGCACAATTCCTGTCTGCCAACAAACATTCCAATACACCTGATATTGTAATCCACAGAAGAATGTTGTCAGGCTGCAGTCCAAAACCCCTGTATGCTAGTGGCCAGTAGTGCATGTGTTCCTCTATCTCATTTGTATATATTTCCACAAGATTATTCAATAAAAGGTTGATTGTCAGGCATTGAAAGTGAATAATAATTTTAGGCAACATTAGCCATACTGGAAAAAAGCTTGGAATTTGGAATTTGCTGATAATACTCACAAGGGATCTCAAACTATGGTAGTTGATATCCTACAACTCCCAAACATTTTTGAATGCAATAGATGACTAAAGAATCATGGGAGATGCAGTTCTGCAACAATTTGGTGGGCAGAGTTTGAGATATCTGCTTCAGAGGATAAACATGAAAAATTTGCCTGACAAATGGTGACTTTTAAATGTCACCTTCCCTTTGCAATGCAGCAATAGTGCTGAAAAGCCTGGCTGAGCGCGAGTACAGTTTACAGTTTTTTGAAAGCCGGTACCCACAACCCCAGCACCTCACAAAACCTACAATGCTTAACCCTGTGTCGTGAAAACCCAGAGTACCACAACCTTGTGCTGTAATGATGTTTGCCATTATAAACGGTGCAATAAACATAAAAGTATCAATGGTTTTTCATAATGTTGTTCATAAACATTATATAGGTATTAGACAAAAAATAAGGCCTCGATTTAATAATTTTTCCAAATCAATCAATTCTGAAACACTTTCCAAATGATTTATCTACAGGGATCCCTATAGAATTTAAAGGTGACTTTTGTAGATAAATAATTTGGAAGGTTTTTCCAACAGCATTGAACCATTTGGAAAGCTTATTAAACCAAGGCCTATGTACCTTTTTATTATTCATTTTCTTTTTCATCTACCTTATCTATGTAATGCTGCTTAAGCATGCATTGTTACCTGGTGGTATCATAAAAATATACAAAACATGCAAATACACCACTCTCTTACCTGCAGCAAGTCCTCAGTCAGCATATCGGTGACATCTTGAGATCTAGATAAAGGAGGAGAAATGACAGAAATAGTGATAAACATGGAAGAAGAAACTTGAAGGGAGTAAAGTTATGAGGAACTAAGTAAGTCACAAAGCAGATTGGCAAAAAGGAGCATTTTACCAATGTGTTACGGAAAGGAAACTTAAAATATGACTACTAAAATAATCCCATATAAACAAATGTTTAACTATAGAGTAAGGCCTTTATTGAAAGGAATTTAAAACATCTTTAACTTAAAACACTTTATTTATAACACAACTGTATAAAATTAACTAAATGTAACTTGTAACACATCCCTGGCATTTAACAGCCACAGGAAAACACCACATTGCGGCCTTTTGACAACACCACATAAAAATGTTATCCCCTATTTGTTTAGGCAGGCAAATCAAAAAGATCACAAAAGAATTAGAGCAAATTACATAAAGGGTTTGAGGGAGGGAAGCTGCACAATAGTTATCCTTAACAGGTTTTGTTAAAACACATACAGACTTCATGTCACTTGTCAGTTGTTCAGTCAGGGGAATGCAACTGTTTAAAAAAAAACTTGCAACATTTGAAACAAAACAGCAACTTTGAAAGAAATATTCAAAATCACTCCAAGTCAGTTGTTAAAAACTTAAAATTGCTGTTAAGTGAACATAACCCACGTAGTGGCATAAATAGCAAGTAGTTGGAATGATAGTGTTCATACAGTCAATAGTCAAACAGACTTGACAAATGGCTACCTTGCAGAAGCGGACACACTGAATGTGAAAGAACATCAGTACAAAGAGAAGAGGCCTGTTAAAGTAATTATGACTTTGTGAGGTAGGGATAGTAGTACCGAGAATAACAAATCCCTGTCAGACTATAAATTGTAGGATTTTTTTTTTCTTTTTAAAGATAAAATCAATAAAATCACAATAGCATAGAAGTACATCAAGAAAAATGCTGAAGGTGTCTGTGTTCATGAAATAGTTCAACTGTGGAGTGGCCGAACAGAAAAAAATGAAATGGTGGAGTACGTAATTAGATGACAATTAGTGAGTGAATATGTAAATATAAAAATAGTGGAGTGGGTGAATCCAATGGGAAATTAGACTAGTAAGTAATTTGGTAGAAATAAAATGGTGGATTTGGTAAAAAAAAAAGGTAAAAATAAAATGGCAGGGGGGCGTGGCCTGGACGCCGAAGGAGATGGCTGCCTGATCGCAGAGCTCCGTCCCGCTCAGCAGCAACAAGCGCACCCGCAGCACACTGACCTGTCAGATGGGTCGAAACAAACGGCCAGATTCCCACCCAGCAGAGGGACGGCCGCACCAACAGCAGACCCCGGGCACACTAGACGGGTATCTCCGAACCCCGGCCAGGCAGACACGCGCGGCTCCGGGAACCAAGATGGCCGACGGACAGGCAGCAGCACCACAGACCCCTGAGGTACAGAGCCCCTCCCTGGCAGACATAAGAGCTGATATCAGGGCCCTCACTGCAGCCATGGTCACCAAGTCAGACCTTCAGGCTCTGTCTGCCAACCTGCACGAGGCTATCAGATCAGAAGTAGCCACCATACAGAGGGACATTGCAGCACAAGATGGCCGCATACAATCCCTTGAAGCCACGAACCAAACAACAGTGAGCAGGCTGGAGGCTATCAACACAGCATTAACAAAACAGGGCACGATGCTCCTGCAACTGAGAAGACAGACGGAAGACCTAGACAACAGGGGGCGCAGAGCAAACATACGGATACGCAATTTACCAGAGGCTCAAGGTGCAGAAGACGTTGCAGCTACCCTCACGGCTCTCTTCATGGAAATTCTGGGCCCTGACGCTCCACAGAACATCAAGTTCGATCGGGCGCATAGAGCCCTGAGACCTAGGATGGACGGCGGCCCGCCGAGAGACATAATTTGCTGTCTTCATGAGTATAAGATAAAAGAGCTCATTATGGCGAAAGCCAGAGCCAAACCAACGTGGCGGTTCGGCAGCTCAGAAATAGCACTATACCACGACCTGTCCCCACTCACGCTAGAGGCAAGAAAAGCCCTGAGACCAATTACGCAACTACTGAGAAGCCGCAATATCCCGTACAAGTGGGGTTTCCCATTCTGCCTCACAGCAAGACACAACAATGAGTGGAGATCCCTATGCTGGCCTGATGAGGTGCCACATTTCCTACGAACCATGGGGCTGCCAAACACGGAAGTAGCAGACTGGGTCCTGGGCCCCCTGGAACAGAGGAACAACCAGCCGGTGCCAAGAGCCCCGAGACGCCGCAGAGAGGACTCTCCGCAAGGCTTCCCAGCCCGCAGACACCAGCCACCGGCCCACCAACAAGCACAACCCGGAGACCACTAGGCCACACGGCAGACGACTATTGCCACGCTGCAGCCCAGCCACAGCGAGGAATCTCCCGCAGACAAAGAAGACTAGACACAAGACACAATGGACGCACAGATAAGTAACCTACACAATTACACATACAACGCTATAGACTTTGACACATACCCCCATGGCGCCCACCCCACCCAGAACACTGGCTGAAGGCAACGAGGCTGGCCTAGACCCAGAACCACCCGCCATAAAGACGATAGCAAAGACATGACTACACCGCAAAGCCCGCCACCTTGGAGCTGACTCATTACCAAGGGCGGTTGCTCAGCGACCCCACATAGACAACTCTGGGAAAGACAACATGTTGGGGAGGGGGGATACGACAGTCACGTGCAGAAGGAAAGGGACTAAAGGTCTTGAGCAGGATACACTGCACCTGGATGAGGGGGAAAAACTAGAGTCCTGAGCACGACACGTGCCAATAGAAGCTTGGCACAGGATGACAGCTGATAAGTACTTTCTAAGGAACTGTGCGGGGGGACAGGGGGGAGACGGGGGCTTGAGTCATGGGTATTGGACATTACACCCGGGGGGCGGGAAGAGGGAGGGAAAAAAGGAGAAAAAGAAAAGAGAAAAGAAGGTCAAAAACCCTGAGACTCCGGGATGAGGGAGAAGGGGAGGGAGAAAGGGAGGCAATTGGGAACATGGACAAGTGGAGACATGCAATACATGCGACAACGCTTCACCTCAATGTGTATCTACATATATCCCCTCTCTCCCCCCCTTTTTTTTTTTTCTTCTCTCTCTCTCTCTTTCCTCCTAATGTGGCTACACTGGTCGCACCCCGAATAAAGTTATATGAGGAGGGATGGGGGGTGAGGGGAGGGGAGTTGATAGGGGAGGGGGAGATAAGGGGGGGAAAAGTTTAACCAGAAATGTATGCAAATGTATGTACATGACTCTCTGTATACCTGAATGATGACATTACCCCGCCTTACAGTAACCCGGAGGGGATACGGAGGAGAAACGAGGTGGCGAGCTGAAAGCCCAATCTGTTAAGGTCCCTAACATGACGCAGAGCGGAGGAGTGCACTCCCCCACACAAATCACAGACCCTGACGACACCCACGACACGGTAAGCCCTGACGGCACCACCACCACCACTCCCTCACAGCAAACTGTAAGGGGCAGAACAGTAATTGCACGCCAGCTCACAACCATGCCCGGGGGCCCTCAGAAACTCCCCTAACGGCAATACAAATTCCCCCCGAACCGGCCCCTACGGGACACGCCCCCTCGAGAAAAGACGACACCCCGACTTCCACCGTGAACAAGACGACCGACAGCTTTATAGGGAGATGACTCGTTATGCTAACTGCGCGTGATACATAGAACTAGGCCTAGGCCACGACAGACGCAACCACTACCTCACTGACATGGTTATCATAGAACTACTCATACAGTACAATACGGTGCACCTTAGCTACACATATAGCGGGAACGACGTCCCACACCATATTAATAGACTTCGAACACACTACAAGGTACAGGCTACTACCTGACGTAATACCCGTGTAGACTACCATTGGGAGACTCACTGCCGATGCCCAGCCGGACGTAAATTCTGGCGGTACGGCTCTGACTATCTACCCAGTTGCACGGAGCCTTCCCACATTGGGAGCTAGAATACAACCAAACGACACTTACACCAACACACACACGGCAATAAAAGGAGAAGTGGACAGCCGCGTCCGACTCTTAGACACGAAAGGGAGGCAAATACCCACACACGAACACTAGCAGCCCACGGAAGGACACACAACACACGAACACCACCCAGTCCTACTCCTACCCTACCTTACCCTCCCTGATCACCCGTGACTGTCCAGGAGGGAGCTTGCCGGGACGCGTCTGGGCCGGCCCGTGGGGGTGCGCTCGCGGAGCCACCTCGGCTCTGGGGGTGGGCACGGTGACGCTGACCCATTTGGCATCACGGGGAATACGAATGGCGTACGCGCCGTCACCCTTAGTGGTGCACTCCCAAAATTGCAGAGGACTCAACATCCCGGAACGAAGGTCACACCTCTTACGCAGCCTCAAACAACAACATGTTTCAGTGGCAATGCTCCAAGAAACGCATCTCAGACCAGAAACAAACAAACTGCTCAAGGATAAAACGTATCCAACGAACTACTACAGTAATCACCCAACGGCGCGCAAAGCTGGAACGGCAATCCTCCTGGCATCACACCTACAATTCAAACCAATAGACACGCAATCGGATGCAGGAGGCAGATTCCTCTTCGTCAAGGGCGAGATAGCAAAGAAGATCTATACCTTTGCCACGGTATACACACCCAACAGCGGCCAAGCAAGCTTCCTCAGGAGAACACTGACGAAGTTATCCCGATTCACGGAAGGTGCCCTCGTACTGGGAGGCGATCTTAATGTCCCACTGGATCCTAAGATGGACACCTCCAAGGGCCATAGCAGTGTACCAACAGCGACGCTAAAGACAGTACACAAAGCCCTCAGGGATCTGAGGCTGGTGGATACATGGAGAGCGTTTAACCCTGAGGGAAGGGACTACACGTACTACTCCACGGTCCACGACAGATACTCCAGAATCGACTATATCCTAGTACAGCAGGAGGGACTCACATACATACAGAAGGCGGCTATCCTCTCTACGACATGGTCGGACCACAGCGCGGCTCAGGTTACTGTGGCTTCACCCCTGTTCAGACCGACTAAATCAGCCTGGCGGCTAAACGATTCCTTGTTGACTGATGTGAAGATGAGGGAAAAGATCGCAGAGCACCTAAACCAGTATTTTGAGGAGAACGACACAGAAGACGTGACTCCCATGTCGCTCTGGGAAGCTCATAAAAGCGTGATCAGAGGCCACCTTATCCGCATGGCCACCCAGCGCAAGAGGGAGGCCGGCCAGCAAACCAGGGAACTCGGTGGCTACTAGAAAACAGCTGGCAGAGATCTTAGAACGCAGACATACAAGAACAATACAGCGTTCGCGCGCCTTCTTCTACACACACGCCAACAAAGGAGGAAAACTCCTAGCACAGATGCTGAGAGGCATACAGAGCAGGGCACAGGTACAAGCCATACGTACAACACACAACCGTACCACACAATTTCCGGAAGAAATTGCGAACGAATTTAAAAAGTTCTATACTAAACTCTACAATACAAAAGAAGACGAAGGAGACCCCCCAGGGGTTGTGAAGCAGAGAGACACGACAGCGTACCTGAGGAACTTCCAACCGAACGCCCTCACATCGGAAGAGGCTGAGGAACTGGAAGCCCCGATCACAGAAGGAGAAATCCGACTAGCACTGAAAGAAGCGAAAACAGGAAAAACACCGGGCCCAGACGGCTTCCCGGTGGAATACCTTAAGAAATTCGGACACACCCTCGTACCACATCTCACCAGAGCCCTGAACAGCCTGAGAGACGGCACAGCCTTCCACAAAGAAACCCTGACCGCAACAATAGCGGTAATTCCGAAGCCGGGCAAGAACACCGAACAAGTCGGAAACTACCGCCCGATCTCACTCCTCAATGCTGATGTCAAGCTGTTCTCAAAGGTCCTGACTACAAGACTACAAAGACACATGACTAGACTAATACACCCAGACCAGACGGGCTTCATACCTGGCCGAGAAGCCAGGGATAACACCCTAAGGCTTTTCGCTATACAACATCTATCAAAGAAAATGGGAACGAAGCTACTACTACTGTCGACGGATGCCGAAAAAGCCTTCGACAGAGTAGATTGGCACTTCATGACGGAAACACTACGTGCGATAGGTCTTGGAAACGGCATGCTCACATGGATCACGGCACTATACAACCAACCAACTGCTAGGATTCGAGTAAATGGGGCACTCACGGATGACTTCCACATCAAGAATGGCACGAGGCAGGGCTGTCCACTATCACCCCTACTATTCGCCCTCACACTAGAGCCGCTTCTAGACAGCATTAGGAAAAATGAGGGAATACTGGGCTTCAGACACGGAACGCATGAACACAAAGTGGCCGCATACGCCGACGACATGCTATTTTTCCTCGAGAACCCGCTTACCTCCGCTGCCCAGCTAATGTTGGAATTCGAAAAATACGGACGTTTATCCGGACTCAAATTGAACCTGACGAAATGCGAAATCTTAAACGTCACCGTCCCGGAGGAAGAATGCGCACAGTTTAAACAGCAATACCCTTTCCACTGGTGCACAAGCCGAATGAAATATCTAGGGCTATGGGTAACACGCGAGGCTAAAGACATCTACACCCAAAACCACATACCCCTCCTGAGGACCATACTCGAAGACCTTAAAAGATGGCACTACCCCCACATATCTTGGCTGGGGAGAATTGCAGTGATAAAAATGAATGTTTTACCGAGGCTACTCTACATATTTCACACAGCCCCACAGGCGATTCCGCAGACATTTTTCAAGACACTCAAAACAGCAATCACACAATACATTTGGAGAGGAGAGAAGGCCCGCATTAGCTTTGACAAGCTCTGCTTACCAAGATGCTGGGGAGGGCTAGCTCTTCCCGACGTCAGAAAATACCACCAGGCCACAGTACTGCAGAGGCTCAAGGAACTCCACACGGATACACCCGACAGAAGGTGGGTAGCGCTCTGGAGGGAATCCACCGAGAAAAGACTACACACACTGATTTGGCACAGAGACGCAGACGCGCACATAATACTGGGAGAAGACTCCCCACTTACACACACCCTGAGACACTGGAACGAACTGAGGAAAGGACAGCAGATCTCACCCAAACCCAGCCCGCTGATACCGATCACGTACAACCCTGACCTGGGAGATAGCCTCCCGCCAACGGCTTGGCCGATGGAACACCAAGATGGATACATACCTATCTACTCCACTTTAAGCAACACGGGAGTGAAACCACTACGGGACATATTGGAAGAGAGACCACACACACTACTGCACCAATTCCGTTACGCCCAACTAACCCACTACTACCATAATCTATCTCATAGAACCAAAATCCACAGGGACCTCACGTGGTTCGAGAACCTATGCACTCAGCCAACGGCAACTACAGGAAAGGTCTCCATGATATATCAAAGCATACTGACAGGACATAAAACAGAAAACACCCTATACAAACGGCAGTGGGAGGAATGGACGGGGGAGTCTTTTGCGGATAACCAGTGGGAAAAGATCTTAATCCTACAACACAAAAGTTCCATTAGCTCCCATTACCAGGAGGTGAACTACAAGCTCCTTACACACTGGTATCGCACCCCCTCTCTGATAAACAGATTCGCACCAAACAACCCGAACATCTGCTGGAGATGCGGAGACAGCCCCGGTTCCCTGAAGCACATCTGGTGGGACTGCGAAAAAATTAAACCGTACTGGGGGAATATTAAGCAAGAAATAGAACGCATCCTAGGGGACCCTGTGGACCTTACAATGGGAGCCGCTCTCATACACCACACGGATAGACCCATATCCTCTTATAAAAAATCAATTCTGAGACACCTACTAAACGCGGCGAAATCCCTAATCCCACTACACTGGAGGAACGAACATATTCCCACACTGGAACAATGGAAGACTAAAGTCGAAGACATAAGAAGGGCAGAAGCCAAAATAGCTGAAACAATAGGCAAGGAAGAAAAACATACAGAGCTGTGGACAACATGGATACTGTACATTTCTTAAGACTTGACGCAGAAACGATGCACCCAGCTGGAGCGCCGGGGCGGGCCCGGGGGCGGGCCCAGACGCGGCTCGGAATGAGGCGGACACCCGCCCTCCCTCTCCACATCCCCGACCCCCCTCCCCGCCCCCACCCAACTTTCCTCCTTATCCTCATACAGGGAAAGCCTTCACACACACATAATATGATACCACACACGAGTAGAATAGAAAGGACACATAACTAACATCGCAGACAAGGAGCACACAAAACAGCAATACACACAAGCAACGCATGCTGAGCTACCACGGACGCAACAACAAACACATTAAACGCTAGAAACATGACAACGCAACCCTTTACACCCATGTCAACACCTAGACACACGACTAATACGAAACGATAAAATGAAAGTTAAAAAACCCACGCACAATGAAGTCATAGGACAGGAGAAGGAGATAAATAGTGAGGAGACATGCCACAACCATTCAGAAACGCAGAAGGAACAGACAAGACATCTGATGACAGAACCACAGACTCGCGACAAATAGAAAACTCAGGTCAATACATACTAATCCTACTATACCCAGACGAGCCACAAACAATAACTGAATAATTCCGACACGTAAACAGCACTAGCGGGACTGAACGAAGCCGGACAGCTCCCTACCCTAACGCCCACGATCAGACTAACACCTATGTACACAGCAACAACTGGTGCACTCGAAAAACATAGCGGTGCCGCTAGAAATTACCAGGGACCTGCGAGTCCGGCAATATTGTGGGCCTGCGAGCCCGAGAATGTTCCCACATGTCATGCTAACTCCACCAACGAATGGTGCTAGTATTGTTGTTGGTTATGATGTGCCTCCTGAGACCTGCGAGTCTGATTTTTCTTGACTTTGATACCACAAATAAAACGAATTTACACAAAAATAAAATGGCAGAATTGGTGAAGAGCTGGAAAGGAACAAGAAGAGGTAAATATAAGATTTACCAAGGGAAAAGCTGTAGACGAGGGAGGAGTCATTTTAAACTCCATAGATTAAGGCTTGATAATCTTTTTGCAGTTAAAATGTTGTTATAGTATTCCATTCAGAAATGTGCCCTGTACCTCACATATATATATATTTATATATATATATATATATATATATATAACGTTGTCGGCTAATTTCACTTAATATAATTTGTCAATTACTTGTATTTTACATTTCTATCGTAAACCTAAAAAGAGCTATGGATTTACTCTATATAAATTATGATAACAGTTTGAGTTTGTAAGAGGAACAAAGAGAATGCTGTAACAAAGAAACATAGAGTGATGATTACAAGGGTTCAAAAAGAACCATGCAAAGGTATGTGGGAGAGGAAAACAGGTAATAAAAATATGAGAAAGATCAGAAGAGCAGAGATAGGTATGAAGATACCCAATACAGTAATAAACAAATGACTACGGAGCAAAATAAAATGATGACAGATAAGACCTTTAACCTGCAATTCTGAAGCACTTTCATGCCAGCACAAATTACTGTCATAAAAATTGTCAGTGGCATCTGAAAATGTATACAAAAGACATACAAGTACATATAAGTAACTGGACACAGTTGGATTATTCACGCAGTGGCAGAAATACCATGTGTTCTTAAAGGGGCCTGCTTGCAAGCCTCCTGCCAAAAGACTATGGGCCCTTTAAAAACATATGTGATTTATGTACTTTCGTACTCCAGAAAGAGAGACCAACCGTTAGCCCTAATTCCCTGGAACTGTTTTGGGCATAGAACCATGTGCACGGTCGGTCAAAATTATGACTTCCATGGAAACTGTCAGGATTACTGTTGATCCAGCACGCAGAATTGTATCATATCTAGAACTAAGGATAACGTCTAACAGGACCTTAGAATGGCCGGACTTAACGTACTAGAGAATAGTCAAAATACTTGCCGAGGTCAGGGACACAGAATGAGGAACAGCGATAAAGAAAAGCCAAAAGTCAAGGGTACTCGAAATCAGGGAAGTCAGATGAAGCCAAAGTCAAAAATCAGATATACATGATCAGGAACACACTCTCAAATAACCATCAAAGGGAAACCACGACAGAGCACTGACAGAAAAGTAATTTGGGTTTAAATACCCTTTCTTTGGCTGTAATTGGCTGTCTCTGACCTCTGACCCCAAAACGTGCGTGAGCATCTATGACGTGACGTCGCACGCAAGTTGGCGCCATCTTTGGTGTGGGTGAAGGTAAGTTTACTACAAAAATCCAAACTGCAGTGGTCGGCGCTCCTAAGAGCGTTGCACCCGCTGGGGACCGGACTGGAGGGAGATCCAGTATGAATTGTTTCTGTTGGCGTAGTTGCTTACTTTATGGTTGCTTACCATGCCGGCAGAATCACCGGGAGCTGTGACAGAAACCCCAAACCTCTGAAGCGATCTGGGTGATTTTTGGATATGTTGGTCCCCCAGATCGGGGCTATCAGTGAATGTGACTTTTGGGGGGGTTCCATGTGTTTTGGGGGACTTTCAGGGTTGTTAAAATGTATGTTTTCTGTGCCTACTTTACTAAGTTTAATACAGTTCCTTACTCAATTATCTGTCAGGCACAGGGGAGGGATTATCCTGTTTTGATTGGGAGTGTCCTGGACCTGAGAGCTAACGTAATTACAGTGTGTACTTTGTCACAGTCCCCTCTCAGGTCCAGTGGGGAAAGCCCCTGGAATATGTTATGGAAAACCCCTTTAGGGAAGCCTCAGCTCGTCTCTTATCTCTTATAATCTGTGCCTTCTCCTCCCAATCACCTGCCCACAGATCAAAATAATTTGATTTAATAATTTAACCTTTGTGTATTTGTCCCTTGTCCTTTTAGATTGCAAGCTTGCTTGAGCAGGGCCACTTCACCTACTCGTATATCAGACGTGTTTTGTCAGAATTGTTTCTCTTGTTTTATTTAGTGTACAGCGCTGCAGAATATGTTGGTGCTATATAAATAATTATAATTGTAATTGCAGGTTTCCCAAGCATTAAAAGGAAATTTTAAAAGCACTGTTCTAAAAAATATTAACATGCTTCATACATAAGTGGAAAAACAGTTGTATTCAGAGAACAAACTCAATGACAGAGTTGTTTTCAGAAAAAATGTGAATGCAGTGATATTCCGCACCCACATTATGCAGTTGACATTCTGCTTTCTACGTGTTTTGCAATCCTGCATGTCTTGACAATGTCTATGAGTGTGATTGTTAGCATGCCACACCCCCCACCACCACCACCTTAACCTGGCTAAACAGAAACTAAATTCTAGATGCCCTAGTGTAAAAAGATTTGGGAATACCTGGGAGTGCCCACAGGTAGTGACAGGCAAGGGGTGTGTCTGGCATAGCTCAGAAATGAATGAAGGGGCACCTTTCAAACATGAATCCTTACTTATACTTCTGCACAGTGCTTGAATATGCATGTAATAAGATTTTTATGGATGTATTATACTCCGGAACTGTAGATTTTTCAATTTAAAAAAAAAAGTGATATTATGTGGAAATACACGTCCATTCACAGCTGAATACATTATATTGCAGACTTCCTTGTTTATATGTACACAGAACTGTGTGTTTTTATTCACAATAAAGTATGTTAGCAGGCATGTATGAATGACAAAAATAATCTAATATTTTACCTTATATTTTTAATATTTATTATGAGGGATAGATAGATGGATAGACAGATGGCAGATGACAGACAGATAATTTGCAACCTTGCCATGTATTTTTAAGGACTTACATTAAAGGACCACTATAGTGCCAGGAAAACATACTCGTTTTCCTGGCACTATAGTGCCCTGAGGGTCCCCCCACCCTCAGGGTCCCACTCCCACCAGGCTGGATGGCAAGGAAAGGGGTTAAACTTACCTCTTTCTCAAGCGCCGGGCGGGGAGCTCTCCTCCTCCTCTCCGCCTCCGATCCTCCTCTTCGGCTAAATGCGCATGCGCGGCAGGAGCTGCGCGCGCATTCAGCCAGTCTCATAGGAAACCATTCATAATGCTTTCCTATGGACGCTGGCGTCTTCTCACTGTGATAACTGTGATTTTCACAGTGAGAAGCACGCAAACGCCTCTAGCGGCTGTCAATGAGACAGCCACTAGAGGCTTTAGAGGCTGGATTAACCTATTTATAAACACAGCAGTTCCTCTGAAACTGCTATGTTTATAAACAAAAAGGGTTAATCCTAGAGGGACCTGGCACCCAGACCACTTCATTAAGCTGAAGTGGTCTGGGTGCCTAGAGTGGTCCTTTAACAAGGCACTCCACTTGTTGCAATGTGCAATACTGGATGCATTATTAAAGGAATACTATAGCGTTAAAAATACAAAGATGCAGGGCTGGCATTTGGGGTGTGGGCGCAATGCAGGGTACCATGGCAACTAGGCACCATGCAGCCATCATAGATTGTTGGTTTGATATTAAAGACAAAGGAGACAATTTAGCAGGGACACTGACATATTGAATGTAAATGAATTCCCTAGTGGTCCAACGGTAGGCAACAGCAGGAGGTGCAGTCAGACCACAATGATTTCTTCCACTAGGTCTGGTGGTCAGAGCACAGCTTCCAGGATCTGGGATTCCAAGCCTATGATCTGACTCAACATTGAGTGCAACAACCCCCGGGGAAGAAGTTATTTTGATCTGAAACAACAGGGCATGCACTCCATGCTATTCAACATCAAACCACTAGGGAACGTATATAGTTTAGCACTTAACAACCAGGGAAAAAGTGGGTATTTGTCACCAGGCACCGGCGTAAGGAGGAGTCACAGAGAAGCAGATGGCAGTTCGGAACAACGTCAGGAGATGGAGTTGCTGCTTTAAAATGCAGTATTGATGAGTTTCCAACCACAAAAACTCTACTAGTCTAGGGTTGCAATAAAGTTGCTTAATATAGGTGGTGCTGCACCAGCTGCTGGTGCAACACCCCCTACCTATCCTATCATGTACCGTCACATGAACCTCAATGCAGAATATTTCGAACCCAGCGCACAGTGGGCGGCCTTGAAAACATGTATTGCAAACACTTTAATATCCTGTAGCTGTTTAGGTGTTTGCTGCCCCCCACTGCAGTCCATGAAAAAAAAGTAGATTTACCTATCTTTTCTGCATCATTGCGCTGCTCTCTCTGCAACCACCTGCCTCCTTGGATGAGATCATCAGCTGTTATGATCCCAGTCAATCCAATGCTTCCCCATAAGGAAGCATTGGGAGGCTAGGGTGCATGCACAGTGAAGCACAGTGCTTCGACGATCAGTATCTCCTTATAGAGATTCAGTGAATATTTGCATCTCTATGGGGAACATTCTGCATATCCATGCAAAACATCAAAAAGTGAAAGTAGGTCCTGCAAAGTTTGTTCAGAAAGTTCTTCTAAGGTTTTTTAGGTGAGCATTATGAATAGCTGGGTCTCTTCATAGCTTGGTAAAGGACTTGTGTTGTGCAGCAAGAACTTCAAATATTATCTAATTTTATTTTAAATGGTTTATAAATTTGCTTCAACTTCATCTCAGAAAGTACCTTTAATGTTTCTTGCTTTCACTATTAGCATTGAAGGAACACTATGGTCCGCAAAACAATGTTAGCTTAATGAAGCAGTTTTGTTATATACGTCATGACCTTGCAGTCTCACTGCTCAATTCTCTGCCATTTGGGAGATAAATCACTTTGTTTATACAGTCCTAGCCACATCTCCCTGCATGTGATTTACACAGCCTTCCTAAACACCTGTAATGTGAGATCTAATGTTTATACTTCCTTTATTGCAAATTCTGTTTATTTCAAAATTTCTCATCTAAATCTAAATCTGTTAATAGCTTGCTACATCTTGCAGCAGCTTCCTGTATGTGATTAAAGTTCAAGTTACAGAGCAGGAGATTAAAACGATTAAAATAAGTTAACATCTGATTGAAAAAGAAACCATGTTTTTCATGCAGGCTGTGTCAGTCACAGCCAGACAAGGTGTGGTTAGGGTTGCATAAACAGAAACAAAAGAAGTGATTTCACTCCTAAATTGTAGATAATTGAGCAGTGAGACTTCAGACGCATGATCAAAAAACAAAAAACTGCTATGTTTTCAGCTGCAGGGTTAAAACTAGGGGGACCGGGCACCAAGACCACTAAATTAATTTTGAAATTGAAATACCGAAGTACCGAACTGAAATACCAAGTGACAAATTTTTTTACTTACCCGAATTTCCGAAACTAACCAAATTATTTTCCCATGCACATCCCTAGTTGTCATTCTCCTTCAGTAGGTGGGCCCAATGCTGTTTATGCAGACCCGCCAATTATGGCCATCAACGATGATGCAATTCACTTCACCGGCGATGGCCCCTCAGGGTCTGCTTACATCCCATCCACCGATTCCTCCCAATGTTCGGAGGTACGAGAATGTCTTTATACTGTTACCAGGCTTTAAGTAGAATTTTATCCCACACTAGCATGTTTAATGACATTCGAGCTACGCTTTCTGATTATTTTTGTCTCTGCCTCCAGAAACAGGGTAAAAAAAAAAGAAAGAAAAACATGATGACAAGTCACAGTTTCAAACCGGTACCATCCTCTTGGATTTGGGACAGTGGCAAGGTATGGCATCTATCTGATTATGACTCCATGTATACTAAATACCTGTATTGGTTCACATTGCCCAATATACAAATGGCAGAGTAAGTCACTAAACGCCAAATTTTTGTTAAACTCTGAATGGCAAAACTTAGGTTAACTAACACTATCTATGACTGTAGCAGAGTTTAGTCTACATTTCAATTTTAATTTACTACAACTTAAAATTTTGTTTAAATGCTTTCATATGCATTACAACTTTAGGTCAAATTAAAACACAGTTGACTTTTCTCAATTTACACTTGAGTGAAAAACTCTAATAGTAACTATTTATGAATGTATCCATTTAAACGTATGCGCTTAAGACGTTATCAGGCTAATAAGTGCAGATCACTCTGTACTTTGACCTCATAAACCAAACATAATTATTCAGATCTGCTTAAAGGTGGCTGTGTCTAAAGCAGTGTGTTTTGGTCATTCTACGTTACAAGGAAAGCTTAGTAAAATCATTGTATTAAAACATAACAGCAGTAATGACTGGAATTTGCCACTTTTCTCCTTGCCTGAGAAAAAGAATAAAAAAATAAATAATAATAAGTGATAATCCAGCGGTTCTTTATCTTATGAAACCATACCTTTCATTGTGCTCAACCAGGTAACATCTTGCCTGCAAAGCTATCTCCAAGCTAATTATTTCTACACATTTAGATTTATTGACTGGTTTTGGCGGGATCATGCATACTTATATATTAGAATGTTTGGAATTCCAATTGAATTTAAAATGTTAGGTCAAAATAGCCAGCGTGGAAAAAAATTCCAGGACGGTTATTTTGGCCAAACAAGAGATATACCTACTGCCTATGGCCCGGGGGTTACAGAAGACCCCGCAAATCATGCAGATACCAATCCCTATTCAAAGAATGAGGGGAGCTACTTTAGACTGCCAAGGGCTATGTTTTCCTGCTGAGCACCTCACTTTCATAATGATAAAATGTTATATAACTCATATTGACAACATTAGAAATTCATTGATTTCTTCAAAAGCTTTCTGTTTCGTACGAATGCATGTGCATGAAAGAGTGTGGATAAAGGCCCATATGTAGAAGAAGGCCCCCAATGAGTAAGATGGGTAGCACAGACAGAAGTCGTTCAGGTGTGGATTAACAGAAGGCCAAAGCGTTAGAAATACAAATCTGTTCTCCTCACGCTTTAATGTACCTGTCCCTAGTTAGATAGGTCCCCCTCACGCAGTATGTACAAAAAAAATACAATAAAAATAAAACGATTTTAACACAACATTTTTCAGTAACGGACTTCCTTGGCACTGCTTACCTCTACTCCTCCCATGATGTCATGGCCCACTCCACAATGGTCCAATCCAATGCTCCTCTTATGCACATACTGCACGCATCCAAGGTTCCCCATTAGAAAGCAATGAATTACTGATTTCCTATAGGGTGTTCCGCATAACAGAAGCACAGTGGCTGTCAGTATGTTTTACACTGCAGGATTAAAACTAAAGGACCACTGACCCCAGGCCAAATTATTGAGATGACGTTAAGGGTCCTTAAAAGGCATTTGACATGGATGAACCCTTCAACATAAACTTTTGCACAATTTACCCTGTGGTTGGAAAAAAAGACTTCTTACTGCAGTACAGCTAACAAACTGTGGTCTGATCACAGCTCCCACAGTAAACCCAATGAGGGAAAGGTGCAGGAAACTGTTAAATTAACCCTTTACATTGAGTATTATGACCTCCCTAATAAGGCATCGTCCAAGAAGTGGTTAATAAATAGAGTATTTACAGGTTGCAGTTATACAAAAAAAAAAAAGAAATAAGGGAAGTGGATATATGGAGCAACATTAAGTGTTGGTGGGAGTGGTTTTATTATACTGAAGCAATTTGTTGAAATATAGTCATGTTACACCAGTCCATAGTTAAAAGTCCTTGCTTGAATACAGGTGAATTGGTTAAAAGTTTTTCTAAAAAAACTACAATTTTCATGACCACTTGAATTAAAACTATGATGTTTACACATTTAGGCAGCCTGTGCCTGGAGTACTTCCAAAAGACTATGGAATAGTTAATATCTTGATAGGACCCAGAGGCAGCTCTTTTAGAAATTTCCCAGGCATGGGCCGCAGATTTAGGAAATAAAGGAGGAGATCTTGATTTACATTGAGCTCTAGAAGAAGTGGCAAGGAGGGGTCATGAAGAGCACTGGGAGGGATTCATTTGTAACAATGTTTCTTTGCAGTAACAAGAATGGCTACACACACAAAAAAAACCCTATACTAACTCTGCATGAAACCATTGTAAAAGTGAATACACAGTTTTGCTTCAGTTATTAATGAGTGGTTATTGACAAGTTATGTGAGACAATTAGGAGTTATTTAGATTAGAAAGAGGTAAAACCTAGCTCTATATCAGTTGCTGAACTACAACTCCCATAACGCTTAACCACATCAGACCCTTGTAAAGCATCATATAAGTTGCAGTTCCAGTTTTAGCCAACCCTAGCTTTGACGAATGAATATGTAGTAATGTTATTGAACAGGCAATGGCAGCCGCTATCAAGTCCTTCTTATCTGCCGTGAACTATTGTAGAAGCAGAGTTATAAGTGTTGTTTGCCAGTGAAACAGGTGTCTGAATGTTTGTATAAGTGCAGCTACATACACTATAGGAGTGGGTCAGGGCTTACCTGCCTGGGCCATGGTTGGCCAGCTGTCTCATTCTGTTGAGCTGTCTCTGAATCATATCTGCAGGTGTTTCTGTCCTTGCTGTCTCGATGACTTTCCCTCTGTCTCTGTGCCTGTGGGTGAGGCCGTCTCCTCCTCCTTTCTAGGTCTACGGAAGGACTGATTTTCTTCTGTGGCTGGATCTGTGCTACTTCTCTATCTCTGGCTGTGATGTGAGCTTCCTTGCAGGCTCAATCAAAGGCTGTGTGTGCTGCCTATCATTCCTTATCTCCAACTTTCACAAGCTGTTTTCTAATAAGCTGACTGTCTCAATGAAACAGTTTCTCTGACTCGCTTTGCCTCTGCTGCATCGTGGTGTGTTCTGTCGTGTCAGTTGTTTCCTGTTGTAGTCCTGCAGTGTATGCTGTTCGGTGATGAGTGCGTGTTCCCCTTACCTATGTATTTGTATTACAGCATTTTATGTGACAGTTTCTGTTCCCAGAGAAAGATCTGTGAAAGTGTCTTGATCAGAAAAGTGGAGCAAAGGTGTCAAAGTGGAGTAATCACCAATGGAATGTCCCAGCTGATTCCTTTGGTTTCCATGGTGACTGCCCAATTTTTAGAACGTTGCACCACTTTTCTGATCATTACAGTTTAACTTCATGCACGATAACTTATTTTGCACGGTGATATAGCATTTTTTCATTTTTTTTTTTATATATAAAAAAAATTTGAAAAGCGAATTGCAAAAGTTAGTACAAATAGCAGTATTTGAAGAATTATTTAAATCCGCTGTTTTTCAAGCTTGGCTTTTTTTGGCCTAAATATACTACCTTTTTGTAGTTCACCACAATTCAGTGTTTAGTGAAAAAAAAACCTTACAGTCAGGGTTATTCTTTTGAACATCAAGTTGTAGCTAATGTGAAAAGCAAATTCCAAAGTTTAGGTAAAATAGACACATTTTGACAATAACTTTTCCCTAAATGATCTATTTTATGCAATTTAAGTTATGCCATTTGGATTTAATTTTGCTACAATTCAAAGTTTAGTTAGTAAACCCCAAAGTATTCACTAAGCCATTAATTTCTCGAGCTTATCGGAAAACTGTAAATTTAAAATAGCTATGTTTCTAGCTTTTAGGCTTTAAATTTGCAATTCCCTGATGACTTCTCAAATATTTATGGTTTAATGAATTATCTTGTTAGAATTTTAATCCCTAAACCTGGAGTCATGGAGAGTTAATAACTTAAATGCACATCTTAAAATATTAACAGATCTGAAAAAAAAAATGTCTGATATTTTTGCTTAAAGGAACACTATAGTCACCAGAACAACTTTAGCTTAATGAAGCAGTTTTAGTGTATAATCAGGCATAGGCAACCTTCGGCACTCCAGATGTTTTGGACTACACCTACCATGATGCTTTGCCAGCACTATGGGTGTAAGAGCATTATGGGGAATGTAGTCCATAACATCTGGAGTGCCGAAGGTTGCCTATCCCTGGTATAGATCATGCTTCTCAGGTTTCACTGCTCAATTCACTGCCGTTTAGGAGTCAAATCACTTTGTTTCTGTTTATGCAGCCTTTGTCACACCTCTGCTGGCTCTGATTGACACAGCCTGCAGGAAAAAAAACTGGTTTCACTTTCAATCAGATGTAATTTACCTTCAATAATTGTATCTTTTTCTCTGTCAATTGAACGTTAATCACACACACAAGACTCTTGCAGGGTCTAGCAAGCTATTAATATAGCAGGGGATAAGAAAATCTAAATTAAACAGAACTTACAATAAAGGGAGGATAAACTTTAGATGACTCTTTACAGGAAGTGTTTAGGAATGCTGTGCAAGTCACATGCAGGGAGGTGTGACTAGGGTTTATAAACAAAGTGATTTAGCTCCTAAATGGCAGAGAATTGAGCATTGAGACTGCAGGGACATGAACTTTACACCAAAGTTGCTTCATTAAGCTAAAGTTGTTTTGGTGATTTAAGTGTCCCTTTAAAGATGTTTAACCTATTTATAAATTCAATACAATTCACAGTTTAGTAAGGTAACTTTTATCTGATTGTAGCAAATTGAACACTAGCAAAGTTATTCACTAAGAATTGCAGAGAATTCAAAGTGACCAAACTGAAAATATAGTTAAATGGAAGAAATTGTCAAGTTTAGGTATTTTGAGCGTAAATTTGAAATTCACTTTGAATTCTCAGCAATTTTCATTTTAGAGAAACCCTATTAATATCGTTGAATAATTTCTCCAGATCAGCTATTTTGACCTAAATTGTATTGATCATATTTTAATATGTTATAATTTGGAATGCAGTGAATAAACTCCAATATTTAATCAATTGTAATATCTTTTTAAAGGGATGCCCCAACCTATTATCAGTCATACTACGGGCACAGGTTGTGGTGTGAAAAGCTCTCTACAAAATATCTCTCTCACTCTCTCTTATTTCATTTTTTTCAGGTGTGCATTATTTTATTGACAATTTTTGCCACATTTAGCAGAAATATATATTTTTCTTTTGTTTTCACAAGTGCCATTGTGTGTTAATTCATTTTTAATTAAGTACCGATGAACAGCTCAGATCAACATATGCACTTTGCACCAGCCAACGTTTGTTATTTAATTTGATGCATTTTCAGTTTTCAAATGGTCATTTTAGTGCCAATCATTGAAAAGTTTATCAGTGTCATTTTATCTTCTGATCAATATCATTTTATTCTTGTGGGTGTGCTTTTATTTTTTTCCGGTGCCACTCTTTTGCCTGTGAGCAGTGTATCTTTCGGAAAACAAACACCATCAAATCTTTACAGCCATCCTAACCTACTTGCCCATTTCCAATGATTTTGAAAACTATATGAACAACATGTCAGCATGCCTAGTAAGATGACAAATATAGAGAGAAGGCCACAAATATATGCACCAGGGCTAATTGTTGCACAGTTAGTATACATTTCTTCTACACTCCTCCAAGAATGTTGATGAAGAATTCTAAGATGTCTCAGGATGCCATAGTCATAGTGTGATGCAAAAACCCACCATACATTCTCTCTGGGAGCAGAGCCAGCTCTAATTAGGTCAGTTAGGCCAACACCAAAGACCTCACACTTTGCTGGGGCCTCACCTCATGCCACTAGAGCAGGAGCCTTGTTGTTAGGCATCTTATTTGACTTTTGCCTAACCAAGCTATGAAATTCACGCGCATGGCAAGTTAAACACTTAGGCATTCTATATTGTCTGAATTGCAATTCAGTCTTCTTTCTTTCATTTAGTATATAACTAGGAGGGAGCTACTGGCTCGCTGCTCCCTCCTTGTATTATGTAAATATCTCCCCCATACCTCCCTCTGGGTTCCGGCTGCACAGAATTGACATTTGTGCAGCCCGGAACTCAGTTCCAGCAAATAGCCTCAGCACAAAAGTACAAATAACTGTGATTGTGTGGTGCTTCAAGCAGAAACACTGTAGATCCAGATTCCTTCCTCCATGACCATTTCAAAAGCAGACATGGCCATGGACATTGCAATAACCCTTTAACACCCTCTAGGGCCATGTGATCACCAATAGGAGTTTATGGAGCTGCCAGCCAGGGGAATGTCTGAGTTGTCAGGCAGTCCCCCTGACACCTAAAATGTAAAAAAATGATGATAAAATAAATATATTGTACATATATTGTATATCTATAATATATTATAAAATAATTCAAGCATTTTATAATATATTGTACATATACAATGCATATATATGATTTCATTATAAGTTTACTTTGAGATATATACACATGTAAGCTCATTGAGCAGGGCCCTCCACCTCTCTGTTCCTGTACCTCCAATTGTCTGGTTACAATTACTGTTAGTCCACCCATTGTACAGCGCTACGGAATGTGATGGCGCTATATAAATAATAAAATAATAATAATTTGCAAATGGTATGCCATGATGGGGTTAATTCGCATTCCTGGGCTACCATATGGTCTTTAAAGGCAACAGATCCAGCTAACCAATCTAGCAAACTGCAAATGGGCAATATTGTTGTGATACGTTTTACTGTTTTGAAACACTAATATTTGTGTTCAGTGAAGTCTCCCGAGTATAACAGTACCCCCATCTACTGGTTTTATAGTGTTTTTGAAAGTTACAGGGTCAAATATAAGTCTTGATTTTCCTTTTTTCACATTGAAATTTTCCAGATTGGTTAGAGAGCGTATGGTAGCCCAAGAATGAGAATTACACCCATGATGGCATACCATTTGCAAAAGAAGACAACACAAGGTATTCCAAATAAGGTATGTTCAGTCTTTTTTAATAGCAACTTAGTCACAAACACTGGCCAAAGACTGGACATACCCCATATTGAATACTCTGGGTTGTCTACTTTAAAAAAAAAATGTACATGTGAGGTGTGATTCAGAGATTTATGACAGATAACAGTGTTACAATGTCACTATTGATAAATTTTAAAAATATATATTTTAAAACAGTAATGTCATACTTCTACTTATAGTCCTATAACTTGCAAAAAAAAAAAAAGCTAAGAACATGTTAACATTGGGTATTTCTAAATTCAGGACAAAATTTAGAAACTATTTAGCACAGGTGTTTATTGGCGGTTGCAGATGTGTAACAGAGTTTGAGGGTCAAAATTAAAAAAAAAAGTTGTTTTTTTTTAAAAATGTATTCATCATATTTTATAATTTTGTTTATAGTAAATTCTATGATATGGTGGAAATAATAGTATCTTTAGAAAGACCATTTAATGGCATGACAAACTGTATATAATATGTGTAGGTACAGTAAATGAGTAAGAAGAAAATTACAGTTAAACACAAACACAGAAGAAATGTAAAAAGAGCGCTGGTCCTTAACGGTAAGAAAATTGAAAAACGATCTAGTCACTAAGGGGTTAAATGGGGACAATTTACCAAAAGTGTAGTGTTCTGAAAAGTAGTACAACATTGTAAAAACTGCGCAACCACCTATGTTTTTCATGGTGAGCCCTTCCTTCTACATTATGCAACCATTTTCATTACATAGGACTTTCTACCCCACACTGTCATACTTAATTTTTTAATATAATAGGTACTAAAATGAATAACGCAAAAAACCTTTGACTCTTCCTCATGTCAAAAGACTATACATTACTGGGTAAAGCAGTGCTTAATGTATATCTATTGTGGGCATTTGCCTAGTGGCCTGACTATTAACTTGCCTATTCCAACCAGAAGAAAAATGGCACGAGGGGCCTTTATTTGGTCCCAACACAGGTGCTCAGAACCACTGGCTTAGAACTGGTCATGAAGAGAAAAGAAGTGCAGAACATTTCTTAAATGCTCCCTTTACAAGTAAAAGTTATCAGTACAGCTCCATAATTAGTTCCTTTCTGTGTGTGCTGTAATTTAATGCACTTTTACCTCATAAACAATT